ATATTTTTAACTCTACTACTAACGTTTAAAGTCCAGTTTAAAAATTTGATATACTTTACTATTACCTGTAATTCTGTAAATAAGTCAATATTAAACTCGACGAACGCTATCATACCATAGAATTTTTCAACTTTTAAATTAAATTACTCCGACTTCAAAAAGTAATTAAGGATTTCATTGAACCTCTATGCTGTAACAGCGGTGTGTTCGTCGAGTTCGAAACTGTTTTTATTAGAGACTATCAAAGCTGATATGCTGTTGCCTTTACCTTTAACGTAACGAAAACCCATTGTCCGTGGCAAAACTTTGAAAACTCGTTTTCTCGTCAACCGTTCGTTCTAAATACTTCTATTACCAGATTCACCACCGGATGAAACTTCCTAATGCCACAGCTAATGGAAGAATTTCATGACACAACGTAAATAAGTAATCTTGCTTTTTATGATTCCGTACCTAGAGATTTGTCTAGCTGTCGGTTTGTCTGTCTCAGTTACTCAAAGACATAAAAAGTGGAAGGAGAGTCCCAAAAGTCATCACGTCACATTTAAAAACCTACCTATATTTTATTGAAACACGAAATTTGAGCTATATAAAAACTATAAACTTTATTTTATGTATAAAATATTTAGTTATTTTTCAAGGGTTTGATATAATTTAGATTTTAATATAAATTAACGCAAAATATATTACGTCAAAGGTCTTAACATTTCGATAATAAGAGATAAATCTGATTGTACAGCGTAAAATAAATTAAAAATATAAGATTAATTTCTTATATTTTCACGCGCACTATATTCATAAATGAAACAACTTTTAAAAATTTATTGACCTCTTTTTATTTAAGACTAGTGGACGCCCGCGACTTCGTCCGCGTGGAAGTCGGTATCCCGTGGGAGTGAGAAGTTTTCCCAGTAAAAAGTACCCTATGTGTTATTCTGATGTATAACCTATATTGCTGTAAAGTTTTATCCAAATCCGTCCAGTAGTTTTTTCGTGAAAGAGTAACAAACATCCATACATCCATACTTACAAACTTTCGCCTTTATAATATTAATAGGACTAGTGGCCGCGACTTCGTCCGTGTTTTCCATTATTTCTTCGCTCCTAATAATTGCAGCGTGATGTTATTAGCCTAAAGCCTTCTTCGATAAATGGTCTATTCAACACAAAAAGATTTTTTCAATTCGAACCATTAGTTCCTGAGATTAGCGCGTACAAACAAACAAACTCTTCAGCTTTATAATATTATTAGTATTAGTATAGATTTATAGCTCCAAAACAATACTATTGGACACATTCACAATACAAAAAAATACTTATTAATTTACCTCTGGCTACCGTAATCTACCACCAGTTCCAAATTTGAGAGTCTTGTCTGAGAAGAACTGGCAAAAGAAACTCTGACAAGAAAAATGAATTGCTCCCTTTAATTTCATATTTACAGAATGAACTAACTGTATCTTTTGGTTTGAGATGTGTGATCTGGATTGAGAATTTATTTGACAAATTACTGAATCCGAAGCCGGTGGTATATTCCCACAGCCATCTCTATGAAAATTCGGATGTTTTATAATTTCAATAGCTTCGCGTATCAAAATTGAAAGTAGAACCTTTTTAGGGTTTCTTACGCAAAGGGTTAACGGGAGCCCTATTACTGATTTCGCTGTCTGTCACCAGGCTATATATGATGAACCGCGAGAGTTAGACAGTTGAAATCATCACAGATAATGTACCTATTTCTATTGCCGCTATAAAAACAATTACAAAAAAATCAGAATCAAATAATTTTTAATGGGCTTCCACACAACAGACGTGTTGTTTTGGCTCGTTTTCGGTACGGAATCCTTTATGCGCGAGTGCGTCTCACACTTGGACGGGTTTTTAAAAATATTTACTATTAATCAATATTCTAAAGCTGAAGAGTTTGTTTGTTTGGTTGGTTGAACGCACTAATCTCAGAACTACTGGTAGGAATTGTTTAATACATCACGGTATGACTGGCAGGAGTGGAGCAGCTAAAACGGGAAAAAGACCATGAAGCCTATGTGGGCGAAGCCGCTGACGGAAAGCTGTAACTAAATAATATTAGTAAAACAGTAAACATATTCAAGAAATTTCTTTTGAAGTCTGGCGGAGCTTGTTGTTTCGTTACGCTTTCGTGTTTTCTTAAATACTAGTTAGTGGTTGACCAGTCGTTAAAATTCGCCCATAATTTTAAGTTCATTTAAATTTTAAGTATTATTAGACTTTATAAGATAAATAAACTAAAACTATGATTATCAAAATTATGATTGTTTGAGTTTCAGTTAGACTATAGATTAGTGATATTAAATACTGATTTCTTATATTTTCACCAGCACTACTCATAAATAAAACTACTACGATTCGGACAGGTTTCTTGTTCCATACTCACTTAAGTCGTAATTTAAAAAGTTGAAACCGTTTAAAATAGGTTTATTCAATGACTGTATTGTCAAATAAGTTTTAATATTTGCAGCACGCATTCTGTCAATTCTAAATCAATCGTCCTAAGGGCACATTAAAAAAGTTTATATGATCCAAAGCACTAAGGTTAGATTAGAAATATTTTTATATGGTGGTTAAATATTCTTAGGTTTTCCACATAATTTTCTTACTTTTTTTCTTTCATAAGAACCTTCTCCTGACAGTAACAAACACAACAGAAAAATAATGACGTTCAAACAAACAAATAGTAGATATTTGTATATACCAAACGCATGATTGTGTATGTATGTAGTATTTTATAAATTTTTATCTTTTTGAACTTCATCTCTATGAACTACTACAAGATAGTTAATCATTAACCTACCTTTTAAATACTTGATTTCTGAAATATCAAGCTTTAGAAAACCCTTATACATTTTTGACACGAGCTCTCCGTCGATACTCATCACTGCGGCATCAAAATCCTCCTTCCGCTTTATTCGAGGTAAACATGGATGGTAAACAAACACGATTTCAATTCCACAAAATTGTTTTCCACCCAAATGTACTAGCAAACAGTTATGCTAAGTTATTATATAACTTAACGCTTAAACAGAAAATGTATACATTCTTTATTATTACCGGATTAAGTAAAGCTCTCGGTTATTTGGTCTGTAAATAGTAGATTATTCATAGTAAAATTGTTTCCCCACAAGTTCGTTCGAGTAAATTAAAGCCTATGTAAACCACGTATAATTTAGCTTACCATAAATGAAATATTTTTTTTAAATAAGTCCAATATTGTCAGAGCCTAATAAACCCAAGCAAACAATTGCTAACTATAATATTATTAGATAAGAAGAACCCGACCAACGCGCCACCCCGTTTGTATGAGGAAAAAATTTACGTGTTTACTATATCCAACTCATTTCGCTATAAATTTTTATCTAAAGAGATAAATTTGCATTCACGAAGCAATATTAATTTATTATTTAGTTTTTATGGAGATGTTTCAGACAGTTTGCTGTTTGTGTATTTTTTTAAGCTTACAATATATGTATATACATACAAATAAAATGAAAGATTTTATGTTACAGAAGGATATTAGGGTTGAAGAAGTGTGATATTGTGTGACGAGGGGTAGGAAGAGTCGCACATTTTGTGACGTGACATTTCAAAATCATTTGCCCACTTACCAAAATACAAAATGTTAAATGTTATTTAATTAAATAATAATTTTAATGAAATAAACTAATTTAGGAGCTGCTGTTTCAATTTATTAGATTCTGAGTATAAAAGTGGGGTGAAAAATCATGAAATATGATTGGTCAAAACGGAATATAATATTGTACCAAGTTCCAAAGATAAGCTTATTTCATATAGTACTTAAAATAATACTTAAAACAAAATAGAGGTGACACGAGTCCGCTCAAAGATTGATTATAAATTACTTATAATTTAGTGATTTAGTCATTTGGAGCAATAAAACATAAAGTGGACATATTTATATATTTTATTATATCCTTATAAATATTTGAAACGACACTTGTTTTTTGAGGGGCTTATGAGGATCTTATTGTTCTCATTTTCAGAATTGCCATTTTTAAGGAAATCTAAACAATAAACTTTATTATTGAATGGGTAGACGAGCGATGGGCGATCTCATAACCAGATAACCTTTTTAAAACCATAAGGTAAGTCGCTGGGGATTGAGTATCCTGATGACTGCACAGAAGGCGTACACGTTGCGGATGTTACCAGGTACGCCAGCCTCTTTAAGCCTGTCCTATTCAAGACGGGTGCGGGGTCAGAGAGCCCTTATTTAAGGTGTATTTTTATTTAAATAAAAGCTCACTGCCGGGTGACCTAAAAAAAGATAAATTGCCTGGGATTGGATATCCTAATGGAAATAACTGAAGCTGTTATCTTATGAAAATCCAAAATAACTTGTATGGGTAAAAGAAAGTGACTGAATATGGAATAGCATCCCCAAAATAAAATTCGTTCCTTAATTATTCTTTAAAATAAATTATGAAGTCTGAATTAACCTAGCGTATCCGCAAGCATATCGCATATTAAAGTCATATTTTTATCACTATTACAACGGACATAATCCGTCTCTCTAGAAACGGAATTTAAAAAAATTTGGAAATATTCTTATAATTTTATTAAAATGAGATTCGTGAAGATTATCTGCATGCGTATCAGATGTTGTACCAGGTCCTACACCCGCTACTATTTTGTAAATTTTTGAAAAATACGTTATTTGGTCTTATAGCTTCGAAAATAAACGAAATTTCGTCTCCGGAGAAACGAATATAAATATTGAATAGGAACAAAGCAAAGAATGTAAGGGGTATTATTGTCACTATGCAATAAGAACCTCAAACCAATAAAGACGAAAACAGATTGTAAAGTTGATAACTTCAAAAGTTTTTTTTCTTGTTTGCGTCCTCCTGCGACTGGGTTGACATGAGTAGGCAAGGGTGCGCATCGAATCAACCGTAACACGCGTAGTTCCTCCATATAAAACGATCGCTCGGCGCACGCGCATCAGTTTGTGAAGAACTACCGAGACGCACATTTACACAGTGAGTGTCTTTATTTATAACGTTATTTTGAAAGAAAATACATAATATTACGCGTAAAGTTATTTTAATTTGTAAAAAACAAGTGATAAGTGACAGTTTTTTTTATTAAAGTTCCAAACACTGTGGTGAATTAAATTATGTTAATTTAATTAACATTTTTAAATATTATTCGTATTACAAAATGCTTAAAATATCCACTTGGTGGCATTGTGAATGCAAAAAAATTAAAAAAATATAATAAATTTAAATATTCTGGAAATTGAGTGAAAAGGCATAAAATTGGCTAGATTAATAGTAAAGGTATTTATTTATCTGTACACACAGTAGGTAAAGTTTTCAAAAGCTCTATCAATATTTGATCTTATTAAATGCCATGCCCTTTTTATAAAGTTTTGTTTCTTACAAAATAGTTTTTAATTTAAAACAAAACCATTATTACAAAAGATAAAAATATAAAAATCATGCGAAATCAAATATCGGCTGTGTTACTTTATCAAGCTTGAGATTTCGTTTTTATCAGATATTTTGTTGACTAAAACATAGTGTAGATCAAGTGTTGATAATATTAATTATAATTTGAGATCAAAGAACATACTATAAAAGTTTTATTTTTATAAAACGATAAGGATTATGAACGCTTAAAATAAACTATCTCGAAAAGGCGGAATCAAATTACCTGAAAAATGTTTTTTTTTTTTGGTAACCCAAAGGTCGATTCGAAACCATGACCCACATTCCAAACGGGATGAATGAACCCAGCGGGAGATCGCTTTCTACCTCCCGATCGGTCCCGTCTCAGGAAAGTTTGTAAACACAAACCATAGATTACAGACATTAAATAATCTTCTGAGTTGTAGTCGACCGGTTAGTGTTAATAAACTCGGCAAATGCAAGCCGTGACCAAGCTCATTCCATTCAAAGTGAAAAAAAAGTGTTTATTGACTTTATACATTTACAACCTCTTTGAGTGTCTCTAGGTCATGGTTAAAAAAATATTTATTAAAAACTCTTTATACTGAAAAATAATATAAACTACGTAAATCAAAAAGTTTAGCATAAAGCTTCATAAAGCTTCTTTTTCTTCCAGTTTATTTTCAATCTTTGTCAATATTTACTTCAATTATATACCTAAACTGTTAACAAAACATTTTTGGCATACTGACCAATTAAGGATTTTACTCAAAGACTGATTTTATAGGTAGAGAATAAGTACCTAATGTAATGAAATCGTGAATAGCTTGCGTGAAATAAAGTTTGAATAAATAAAAGAAAATTCAGTAAGGTTTCCATTAAATTCGGAATTGATTAAAATATTATTTTCCACGGATTCCTTTTTTTTTCCAAATATAAGAGTTACATTTCTTTCGAAATCTAAACGGATTCATTTCGAGTCAGTCAATAATGTATTATTTGAAATCTCTTCTTAGATCAGCTCTGGCGTCTTTTAAATTAAATAAATAAGTATGATAATTAATAACTGATGAATCATTATTTAGTGCCTAAGTTAATAACAGTTAAATACATACTTAAAACAAGTATCTAAAACTTAACAAACTAAATCTGATTCGTATCCGTAATGTTCTCATTAATTTGGATCTTTAAAACCTGTTTAACCACAGACTTTGAATATTCGATTCTTTTTTAAATATTAATAGTATTGTATAATTTTAAATGTTCACATAAATGACAAGGCATTCCACTATGGGTTGCGGTAGTTTTTGACGTTACATAAGATCACCAAAATATCACATTGGGAAAATTTATTGATTCATGGTTAACTTGTGGCCGTATCTCAAAATGACGCAATTTCTCAACCATAAACTTGAACAATAAACCTACTTCATGAAATTAAGAAGATCGATCAACTTTTTTTTTTCAAATTTAACTTTGGAATGTTTTCAATTTACAAAGAATACAAACAGTATATCCAGATTAATGTTTCATACCAACTCGATATATATGTACCTATAGGCCTACACGCTGCTCCAAACTGTTATAATAGAATTTATTTATTATTTGGCGGAGCTAGATGGTGAAGTTGTTAGTTCGGAAGTTAAGCAACTCTCGGAAGGGCCGGTCATTGGATGGGTAACCAAAACATCTATTATCTCCAGCCTATCCGTGCTTCGGAAACCGTTGGTTGCGGCTGCATCTGTAGGCAATCCATATTGGGTCCGCTCAGTGGGTTATGGGCGTCATGAACCGTTCCACCAATTCGATAAACTCTTCTCCAGTTTAGGTGGTAATTACGAGAGTGCTCGCAGAGCGCATTAAATAAGTAACTAGATACATACCTAAACAAAATATAATTTCATGCGATACAGCCTGGTGACAGACAAAAACCGGAGTCTTAGTAATAGCGTTACCGATTTTACCTTTCGGAACTCTAAAAAAGTCTATATAGGTATTTAGTTGGGTCGAAATGGCATTAACAGGCATTCGTTATAGCGTGATATAATTAAAAAATCTTATGTGAATTAGTAGAAATAATATGTTTTTAAAACACCTTTTCTAAAATGCCTTCTTTCCAAGTCATAAGTAAGCCATCAAAGTTATTTTATAACATAGTTTATATTATTTATTTTAGAAACGTAAAACATTTGCAGAATTATTGATTTATTTGTAAAGGATTCAGATATTCGTCATACTTATTCAAGTATCGCATCGTATGAGTCAACGCTTTCTCCTTCCGCAGATAATGAAGCAGCTGAGCATATTGTTCCTGGCTTTCGCGATTGCGCGAGCGCAGTTCCCCAACGGACGGATTTTGGAGCCACCAGTACCCTCACAATGCGTACAGAGGGTCATACACGAAAGATTTGCTGACAGTAAGTACTTAAATAAACTCCGCGATTTTACTGCAGCTCCTTCAGATTATATGAGGGCGCTTAAAAAACAGCAAACTTTAAATGATTTTGAATAAATAATTAAATCTTAATAAAACAACTCGGCTATTAACGCTCATTATTTTTGACAGCTAAAGCGCTAAACTTGTTTTAACTTATATTTTTGTTGTGACTTACTTGCACTTATATGGCGATGATTCAAAACGGTATTTAAAAAATTCTACTACCTCTAGTTTTTCTCCAATTAATATAACTTTACTAAATAAGATGATTCTTTACTAAAGCACTCATATATTATTAAAACTATTTTAATCATTACAACTAGGAACTAACTTAGTAGAAAACTGTTTTAGGATTCATTACTCTTAATAAAAATGTTTGCAATATAAAGCAAGCAACAGATTACGGCGTATAGGTATTATTTATCTTCTGTTCTTATTTCTACATTCTGTCTACTACCTACACTAGGATTAATAAGATGAATATTAAATCACCATTTTCACTATACTCTATTGTTGCTGTTGTTGTTGTGTGTAGAAAACTATAAACAAATTTATAACATTTTTGTTAAATTAAATCATGGGTTAAAATAATACAGTTTATATCCTTTAAGTTGACCCTTTCGACTCATAAAACTATAAAATTTGATATTAAAAAGAATCTAAAACAAGACGTATATCATCTTTGTAATAAAAAAGAAAAAACCCGTTTATAAAAATAATAAAACGGTCAACGAGCTCTTTATTTCATTTCGCATATACCACTTAACAGTTATAGCTAGACTGACCAAGAGTTCTATTTTTATGGGACAATATTGTGGTCAAAAAAGACACCCTACTCTTAACAGTAAAAACGTATGTTTTTAAATATATAATCAAAAAGTTTTTAAACTGGTTATTGATATATTTAAAGATAATTATTACAATGACGAGGATTTATATCCCAAGAACTTCGTAAATAAAGTTGACTTCATAAATAATAATAAACACTTTAATAATTTTATTATTATTGTTGCTGTTACTCATATAACGGTATATGACATTAAAAAAATAATGTTATGCATTAAAGGATATTTTCCATACTACTACTTATGCAATTTCGTTTCATTTTTTGTTATATGAATTAGTTATTTGTTTTGTCCTTATTTTTTAAGGAAACATAAAGGTATTATGATTTTTTTCTTATTACATTCTTATAGTTGCCGATGTAAAAATTATCAAAACAGAATTGAAATTTTCAATAAATTATTTTAATACTAACAAGACAAGACAATTTCAAAAGTTAATATTGCAAGATGCAGGTTTTAGCAAATACGAACTACATACGAAAAAAACAATTTTCGTATATGAAAACTTGTTTTTTTAGACTTAGTCCTCTAGACGTCCATCAATTCCGTGGTAACCCTAGCTGTTGTTTTCTACGGCTATTTCATTACCACAACGACTCATCAATTCATAAGCTCCTAAACCAAGTGTGCAATATTAAATTCTGAAATAGGTATAAATATCTAAAGTAATAATCCATTTATATATTTATACCTATTTCAGAATTTAATATTGCAAACAAAAAAGAAACATTTACACGACTTAGCAACACAACACGTTAAGCTTTACTGTTTGACGATTGCGTTTATTAATAAAAGCTTATCTCTAAATCTATAAATAGCATCAAGAAAGCGTTCAAAAAATAATGCAATAACGTAAAGAATCTATGGTAAATTTTTATTGGCATTATGCTGTAATTAAAAAACAAATAAAAATAGGACTTTTGGCAGTGATTTTGTAATCTTTCTGTATTCACTCTCCTTTATTTTTGTACGGCAACGAACTTTTAAATATGGAACATGTAAAAAATACACTATCCGGTTCCCATGTTTGGGCGTTAACCTTTTTTTATTATGAATGAGTCAGGCAGGGTGCACCGCTCCGCGTGAATTGCTTTCTTATAATAAATTATTTCAAACGTTAAATGTATAGCCCGGATAGCTCAGTCGGTAGAGCATTGGACTTTTAATCCAAGGGTCCAGGGTTCAAGTCCCTGTTCGGGCGGCATTGTTTTTGTAAGTTATAAATTATTAATAAAATTAATAATAAATGTAGAGGAATTAATTATCAGTTTTAAGTAGTTTTAAGTTAGTAAATTAGTTACAAATTAGAATTATTTAATCTTAACAAAAAAAAACGTCTTAGTTTTATTTCGTCTTATAATAAATTGTTCTTAAGTTTAAAAAAAAACAATAAGACTGCACTACAAATTGTATTTTTTTATCTTTTTCCAAAATAGCGTCTAGATTAGTGATTTCTCTGATTCAACTATTAATTAACAGTCCTAAAACTATAATTATGAAACAAAATGATCTAGAGAAACTATCACGTTTCTGAGATATCTAATCTATAAAAGTTAAATGGCGCTACAAATGCTGTATAAATACAAATAATATAAAATAACATTGCCAAGTACCTAACACTTTAGAAGATAAATAAATAACGCTTAATTTGTAATGGATCCATCTTACCATTGCTATTCTATGGAAAAAAAAGTAGTAGGTTCATACATAAATACACAAACATACTAACAGCATTGTAAATACAGATATAATTTGGCCGGCAATTTACTATTTAGAAAAAAAAAACTATATTCAATACATTAACGTTGAGCAATAATGAGTCAAGCTTCAAAGTATGTCATCTTTTAAATAGATAACAATTCAACTAAGTATCTAAAACATCTCCAAATCATCTGTGGTTTTTATCGATTTTGTATTTATTTTAATTTAATATGTAGATTAATTTCATTATTAATTCGCAATACCAAAATAATGTTCAGAATAAAATCGTTTAATATAATAGAAATACAAATAGCAATTTTTACTTTTGTAAAATAAATTGTGGTCAACAATGAGAAAAATTCTAAAGATTCCGCGCTAATGCATTTTTTCTTCTTTTGTCACACAACGCATTGTGCCGTAATGTTGAGATTGCCGCTTTTATAAATAGTTCCGTTTGTAATAAAAAACAAAATATTCATTTTTTTTTTGTGAAATGAAAATATGTACTTATGTCGAGTTTAGTCATGAGTGTTTTATAACCAAGTAGCTGATTGCCCGCGTAAATATAACCTAGTCACCCGCAGATGATGTAGCTTCCCGTTGGTGAAATAATTTTACAAATAAGTCCAGTAGGTTCGGAGCCTATTCAATGCAAACTTTTTTTGCAATTTTTTCTCTTATTAATCGGTATAGACAAAAAGTTATGTAGGCTCGTTGGTCACAGACCCAACTAAAAACTTTTTCCTACAGAGCGAGCAGTGCTATTTTAGCTCCGCTTTGAAACGCTATTACGGCAGACTTTTTGATCAAGAAAATGACGATCCTTTTTTTTTCTTCTAGACAAGGGATACTTTTTCTCCTGGAGAGACCCCGCACTACGGGGAGTAGAAGAGGACTGGCTTAGTGCAAGAAACTACTGTCGTCAGCGTTGCATGGACTTAGTGTCTCTGGAGACCAGTGATGAGAACGAATGGGTCAAAGCGCGAATCGTTCAAGACAAGGTAAGAAAATTTTGCCCATTAACTTTTTAAACTTCGGATTATGGAAAACCTCCTTGGCAGGAAACAAAAACAATTGTAGAGCTACTATACAGTTAAACCATAGCTCGATGATTTAAACACGTGGCTGTACAATAAAAATTGAGTTGAGTTAGTAGGTAACTTTTTACATATGCCATTACAGTTTTAGCAACACTAGCAGAATATTATAGTAAATAGTAGCTCGGTGGCGTAGTGGATAAGCACCGCGGCACGCGATCGTTGTCGTTAAGCAACTTTCGCAAAGGTCGGTCACGGAATGGGTGACCAAAAAATTTTTTTCTCGAGCTACTCCGTGCTTCAGAAGGCACCTTCAGCCTTATGATGATGATAGTCAATAGTTAAAAAATCTTTAAAATGTAATAAACGTAGCTGTTGAATATTTTTTAATGGATTCGTTCACTATAATCCGATAACGTTACAATATTTGTCGTTTTTCTTTTTAAAAGTCGCGTTTTTATTTTACATGTGGTACAGAAGGTACACATCGCATGAAATTCGACATAACAACTCGTAACAAGCGGATATGACTAAAATCCCTCCTGCGGTTATTTAAAATCTAACACTTATTTGTTAACACGTCAATCATCGCATCCTTGACCCGTATGGTTAATGCAGCAAATTTTAGCGAAACATTCACGGATATTACGAATTATTGACAACAAAAGCCTAACAAAGGCCTTAAGAGACACGAAAACGTACACTTTTTCAAAAGTCAGAGAGAAAGTGTCCACATTTGGTTTGGATGTATTCATAACGCGTCTTTAGACCGTCGAGCTATTGTCTTTATGAGACACCAATTAGGCAACAATCCGATTAGAATTTGACATTGCCGATTCGTCGTACACACATACCGCGCAGAATACCAAATCAATTTCCCCGAGTTTCACCTCCTTGGAGTTTTTCTTTTCGTGGGAAGCGTTTTATATTGTTTTCACCAGTTTTCACACTTGTCGATATCTTCAACGATTCTAAAAGAAAGGGTGGGAAGTAGAAATCGATCCAACAATTACTTAAATATGTAGATATTAATGATGTTGTAACAAACACAACAATTTAAAATGCAAGAAATATGAAAAATGTTTTCAAACGCATTCAAAAACATAGACAACGAAATACCTACGTTATTACGTTATGCATGTTATAATCCTACTTACCGTTTCACGTTTACCTTTCCTATGGATATAGTTATTAAGCATATATTTAATCAATGCATTTCAAATTACGTATGTATTGACTTTATTTATGGTACCCGCTACTTTGCGGTTTCAACTCTATCGTATGGTGTATTATAATACCCAAACCATCTCTCTTATTCTTCACTATTAGAGGAAAGCAGGAAATTGGTAAAATGGGAACAATTACGTATCAGATACTTCCCGTCACACTACTCCACCGCCCACATATTCATTAGGTATTTTTATATAGCTTATTTATTAATAAATGGAGGTGTTAACACACTTTTAACATTACACTTATTATTTATCAAACGCAAGTCCATAAAAAATCTGCTCCACTTATAAAGTCAATCTAACTAAGATCAACCCTACAGTAATGCTGCTATGGTGCCATTAGATAATGATTATAATGTAATAACATTTGTTGTGAAGTTTTTAAGGCTTCATTTATGTATGTAGGTAGTACTTCACCATCAGCTTAGTTTAATAAATGTGTGAATAGATATTGACCTGAAAGTATATATTAGTACTTTAGGAATATTTATCCAAATATAGTATTCAAACAACCTTGTTGAAAATATAGATATAACTAAATATAGAGACAGGTCGAAGAACATTAAAAAAATTTTAATATCTCATCCGCATATGATGTAGCTTCCCGAAGATGAACGGATATTTAAAATATATCCAGTAGTTTCAGCCCCTATTTAACGCAAATAATCAAACAGCTGAATATTCCTACTTTATATTTTAGCCGATGACTTTATTTTTTATAGTGAAAATGAGACTGAAAGTTGGTACTCTAAGCATCATCAGTAGGATCAAAAATCTATAAACTTTTATTTTACTGAGCATTATCAGTTGTTTGGGACGTGGAAGCGAAGCAGTAGGGCTGTATGTGTAATGTATGGCAACCAGCGTGTTAAATAGATGTCACAAATATATTTTTATTAATTTATTGTAAAATTGTTACACATTTATAGGTGAAATATATTTGGACATCGGGACGTCTTTGCGACTTCAAAGGCTGTAATCGTCCAGACTTGCTGCCCAATGAGATCAACGGCTGGTTCTGGACTGCGGAGTTGCAGAAACTCGCGCCTACTACCAACAGACAACAAAACGACTGGTCCGAGGGTGGCGGCATTGGGAAACCCCAACCTGACAATAGAGTAAGTAGTAATCTAACGACCTTAATACGCTGTTAATGTGTGTGTAAATAAACCGATACGATATTCTCAAATATCGCATTTAGTTAAAACGGTGTGTCGTGCCACCGTTTATTTCGTCCTAGGTATCCGCATGCAAACTATTTATCTTTGATCTTCAACATAATTTATTTTTATTTTTAACTTTTCGTAATTTGAAATTTTGAGTAATCCAATATGCTCTTTATGAATGTCAGTTCGTCTAAAATCATTAAGTTAGAAACATAATACATATTTAATTTCAATCAAGAGCAATTTATTGTTAAATTTATTTATATGAAATATATAATTTATTTATATTATTATATTAAATCAAATATAATTAAGTTTAATTACTCACCAAACCCGAAGAAAAGAGTTTTTTTTTTGTTACCATTAATTGAATCAAGTTCTCAAGCTTAGCTTTCAACCTTTTATTCTTTGCCTAAGCATCGAACCAGTCACATAGTTATGCCCATAGATAAGGGTAAAAGGTCTTCGACGCCCTAAGCGAGTATCATCCTTATGTGGTGATAATATGCGTGCGAAAAGATTATAAACTATAACTATACTAATACCGATTACTTATTTATTTACTTATTATCCATATTAAACCAGGGCACTCGGGGAAAATCGCGAACAGTGACATGTCTATATTCACTGCGTAGTCCTATAAAAATAGAGAAGCCTACAAACACAAGATACCTAACAAACCCGATTAACCCTACACTTCCTCATTCAGAACAAACAATAGCATGTTACGCATTACGGATTCTGTCATACGCACGTGATGCAACGCGACTATTCCGCGAACTGTTAAGTAATGTTTGTCATAAAACACGCCCGTTCTGGCGGCGGCCGATCCAACGGATATAGGTATGTCGCGCAATGAAAACGAAAGCGACTCAGAATATTTATGGGACATCGGAATATGCGCCGAAGGGCATGCCCGCATGCACGTCACAACTTTCTACAAACAACGACCGGTAACCGGCTTCAACAAAAGCTCATCTTTATGCGGCTTACGTATCTGCAACACGTTGTTTGAGTGACACTTTCGCCGCGGGCGCAGGTGTCTTACAATAACTCCCAGTGGCGTAGCGTGCTTTGTCAGGGCCCTGTATAAAAATTTGTTTGGGGGTCCTTATGAAGGGTAGAGAAAAAACACAAATTTTAATCGTATCTACATCGATAACTGTGGGATTCCCCTGTTACCAACTTTGAAACGCACGCTTTTACACGGGAAAATGGTTTTTTTTTTTACTTTTGTCATTTCTGTAATGAAAATTGGGAAGGTTTCATTAATTTTTTCCAACGCACGTTGGGGGCTACCGTGGCCCGGGGGGCCTGTATAATTGATACGGCAAATACAGCGGTAACTACGCCCCTGATAACTCCTCAAACTATGAGTCTTTTACAAACGAGTAAGAGACCATCAACATAACATTCATTTTGTTCAGATTCCAAGATGAGTAGCTAAATTCTCCGTATTATGGAGTCGGTGTATATCTGAGATAAGATATACCACAACAACCAGACTTAGTACAATATAGTAAAGAAAAAAAACCCAATTTTCTACATTGATCAGCCCGGGAATTGAACGCGGGACCTTTAAAGATGGCGACTCCTTGAATCCAGCGAACGAACCACTCGGTTTGCGAGGTCATAGAAATATACGCAGAACAACCTCCTTCTATAGTTAAAGTACTCAATGGATACAACATGTGCGATAAGGTTATATTGTACCCAACGCTTCTTTCATTGATCATCAGCATCCGCTTTTTGCTGAGAGTTTACATTCAAGGCGAGATACACAAGCGGGTGATGTCATTTTATACATTTAGATATTTTTAGATGTTAACTATAAAAAATAATATGTATTAGGAATAGACGGACAAATTGAGGAAATACTTAATTTTTACGATAATATTGTTTGTGTAAAGTTTTTGGTTTGAAGTTAGTATTTCACATTTATAATAGGGAATCACCCCCACAGAACGTTACTATTTCAGTTTTCAATCTTTTCAATCTAAAAAGATATGAAGGTAATATCATATGAAAGTCATTGAAAGCAAAAGTTCAGAGCTCTTACATAGACAAAATTAGTATTGTCTATAAGTTGCAGAGTTCTTAATATCTTAATACAATATTTCACATCTTGGCTATTTAACGAGACCGTTAACAGATGGTAGAGTCGCCGAAATCGTCTTCTTTGTCCGACTCACCATAATCTTTGTATAAGTCCAGGCCTTAGTATAATCTAAAAGAATTTTTTTTTTCAAATGCAGTACATAATTCAAACAAATATCTGGTAACAAAACCACAGAAAGTGTGGGGCCATTTTCTGTCTAATCAGTGTAGATATTTACTGCCGACAACTAGCGAAAACTGCATACTTAAAATTTACCCCTAACATACTCAGAAACTAATTTTAGTGCATTTTTAACGCAAGTTTAAACAACCGGAAATATTATAAACGGCGTTATTGTTGCAGGAATTGATACAAGGTGGCGCATCAGAACATTGCCTGGCCATACTCAACAACTTCTACAACGACGGTGTCCACTGGCACGATGTAGCTTGCCACCACAGGAAACCGTTCGTCTGCGAAGAAAACGACGCTCTTCTAAAATACGTCCGCTATACCAACCCAAACCTTAGGGTCTAAAATAACAAAACCTCTCCCAAAGTCTATAAGATTAAGATATTGTATTAACGAACAGACACTGCCCAAACAGTCATTTTTTATTTAATAATGCTTTTCGAAATTAACAAACGGTGCTAGCTTTAAGTTTACCTCAATATAACATATTTATTACAGTATTTACTTAGCTCTATTCCAGTAAGCAATCGGACAAATTATTGTAGTCATAATTGTAACCGTTACAGTGTGTTTCTTTTTTAAGTTTATAAGATCTGTCATTAAAGACTGGTTTAATAATTATATTTTTTCGTTTCATTTTCCATAATTACCATCGCTTTTGATATAAAAAAAATATATATTTCTGTGCTTTTAGGTTCCTATATGTTCGATAGATCGAAGATCAAGATCGATAAAACCCTCCAGCCTTTAGTTATACGACAGCGATTGATTACTATCTTACATACAAGTTATACGACAGTGATTGACTTACTATCTTAGATACATGGAATATAAAATTATAATAAGATTGTAATGATTCAGTTTCGTGTAATAATTCTACGAAGGTAGTGCCAAAGAGTAATGTAATATAAAAAGGGGGTAGTGCGAAGGTACGGCTGGTTTTATGGATTCGTCGAATTTGAAGCTTATACCTATAAGCACCGACTGCCAGTCCAGCTAACTTATTTTAGTAAGATAGGCATATTACTATATTGCGACCGTAACCCGTAACATAGCAATGAAACAATTCGTATAGTTCCGGTATATAATTAAAGGTATCCCCAGGGATATAACTATATTACGACTTTGTCTATAGTACTACCATTAACGAAAAAAAACTATTGAATTTATAAATAAGTTTGAAAGGTTATAAAATTCTCAACGTATTAACTTTTAAATTATAAAGAGCCGCATGTCTGGAATAATGTTCTCTAGGTATCTAAAAATTTTTGACAACTATCTAGTACCTAAATAAAATTATGATGCGGCGTCACATCGCCATTGTGTACTCAATCTCGCACGCTGCATGCCATGAATTTCTCTATTGGCATCGCACATTCGTGCGATTTTAAGTCGCACTGGTTGACGTCCGAAACTCACTCATTCCATAGTAGGAATCAATAGGAATGCCAAGGAAAAAGTATTTGCATAGTATTGACCTAAAATTATTAGAATAAGGAAAAGATTGATGATATACTAATTGTCATACTAATCTTCCACAATCTTTTAACTTCTATGTACTTATTATTTATTGATAAGACATTGACAGTTATTTGAAGATATAATTAAAATGTAATGTTATTTTCTTAGATAAGTCTTACAACTTAAGTACAATATTTATCATACATATTTGATAAAATATTCAACATGTGACTATCAATACATTTATATCAAATCAAGTATTATACAAACTTTCAATATATGTTTATTTTATTTATAAATATAATTCTTAAGCCTAATATTTCAAATTATTTTTAGTATAGATTTATTTATCCCATAAAGAGAAAATACAAAAATGTGCAATAACTGTTTTTTATTTCTTAGCACAGATAATACCATAAAACCTATTTTCGCTTGCCGCCCTAAATTCACATACCTTGATCTTATGTCCCAACACAAAATTTGTATATATATTTCAATAAACTTAAAACATTATCCTTAGGATTAATATTATCAAGGGGAAAGAGTCCTCTTAAAACATAATAAAAAGTCGCAAGATCTGTACATTTATTTTATTAATCTTAACAAGAATTTATCCTTAAACTGTACATTAAATTTTTAAGATGGTATAGCTATTTTAAAAATATATCTTAATGTTCTGGGCGAAGGATTCTTGGTCATTACAAACCATAGGCAAATGTTACAGAAATATACAAGAGTCAGGAGCATAGTCACATGCATCAGACGGCTAAGACGCAAAAAGCTCAGCTTTAATCCAACACTAAAAATTATAATCAATAATTTAAAATAAGAATATTGAATATAATTATAGGACATCCATCAAGCAAAATTTAAAAAACGCTTCAAAACAGATAGGTACTTTAAAAAAATTCAAAAATACCTAATAATTTTCATAAAATGCAATTTAATTTACTCACTCTCTGCTGTAAAAATCTTCAATATCAGAATTTATAGACTCCCTTGATCTTTCAGGATCAGGTAATTTAATATAATCTCTGTCAAACTGTTCCTGCAGGCAACATATCCGTTCCATTACAAATAGCAAAAGTATCGCCCAGAAATATTCAAATTCAAACACCATGATACTCATTTTTTGCCTTCTACCATGATAATGTGATAGCCAAATTTCGTTTTTACTGGTGGGTCCGTATAGATAGGATTGTTGACTGATGATGTGGGCAAGGCGAAAGCTGCATCCTGGAAAGGTCCAACCATAGACCCACGTGTCATCCACCCTAAATCTCCACCTTGCCGTGCCTTGTCTTCACTATAGGCAGCAGCTACATCTGGAAACTTTTGTCCAGCTTTCAATTTCTCCAGTGCTTCTAAACATTTTGACTGTTTCTCACACAAAATGTGACGTACTTTGACAGCCGTTCCGCCTTTTTTCTCTTTAGAAGCAGATTCTGTATTCAAACATAAAAGGAGGTTGTAAATAAACAGGTGTCATGTGAAATAATAATGGAGAGATGTATTTCATTTATATAACCTCCAACCTTTCGTGTCATTTGTAGTTTTTCCGCCACCTTTGTTAGAAACACTTCCACCTGAGTTAGTAAGAAAGTAAAATAAGTATATAATTAAAATACAGGCCGACACAAATTACATTCGTTATTCTAACCTTTTGAGTCGCCGGCTGATTTCCCGCTACCTTTATTTGCAGTAGTAGCAGCACTTCCACCCTTTCCTCCTTTTTCTGGTTGCTTTTTAGGTGGCATTAGATAACAATATATAAACAAAAACCTCACAAAAAGTGTTTTAAATGTGTACACTGTACGTACACCACAACAAATTCATCGACTTCAAATCTTCAAATCACCTTCAAATGACTATGACTTTTTTCTCTATGATTTTCATTGAAATCACATCCAACAAATCCATCATAAATATTATTTTATATTTTCTATTACAACAAATATGTAACTATAATAAAAAACAATACATGAGCAAAGTATTCGATATTTTTAATAAAATAACGTGGAAGTATTTAAAAACAAAACATTAGTTCCTGATATCAAACTAGATGTCGTTACGTTACTTTCTTGATCCACTACAACCCTTCCGGTTTTCTTTCGTGTATAAACTCAATAAACAACTCATATTCTATTTGTATTTTTTCGTATTTGTATTGATATTCGAAATTTGCATATTTCACTTTTTTAATATGTTAGTTAAAAGAAAGCACTAAAAAGTCAGGCGCTTTTTAGTGCTTTCTTTTTTTCTTAAAATACTTTATTGAGAATTGCTTTATACTTACTGTTATCCAACAAGACCTATTACTTTTCCTATTTCGTTATTTACGCCTCACTCTTTTGTCAAACACTGGTTGACTTGGACTTGACAAATGACATCTGACATTTTGACATACCTACGTTTTGCGTGAATTGAATCTGCCAGAATTGTGGTTGACGCAAAGTAGCCATTAAAGTTATGACGAAAAATTATATTATTGCAGATTGATTTTTCTATTTAATTCCTTTCAGTGATAAATTCTGTTGTATAAATTAGAAAAAGATGTATATTCTTGACATTTTTTAGATGAAAAGTAAGGTTTTTTCGTTACAATTAATTAAAGTGTAAACAAAAATGTTTGTTGTTATTCGTGACACGATTACTTTTAACTTTTATTTTATTTGGGACATTATTAGATAGACCAATTCATCCTGACACGATGGGGATTATGTACGAGAAGCGTCCGTTGAAGAGGTCTCGATTAGGGCCTCCTGATGTGTATCCCCAGGAACCTCAACAAAAGGAAGATGAGCTCACATCTACTAATGTAAAACATGGTTTCTCTACAACCCCCCAGTCAAGTGACGAATTTGGTACAGCCAGAAACTTCAACTGTTCTGCAACTAAGGTAATAATATTACATCAATTCCAATTATGCATTAACAAAGAAACAAACGAAATCATTTACTAAACTGTCCATCTCACAGATCTGACATTATTCATTCTTTGTTCTTCATCAGGGCTAACCTTCTAAGGAATGAAATCCCCTTAGAAATAGAATGCCCTCTAATGAATTCACTTTTAATAAGTTGTGTGGTTATCTTTTGAAAGAAACAGATTTGTTGACGCATTAGTTATTATTCTATATTTATTTTATCAATATAGTACATGTTGTTTATGTATGCATATTGATATACAAGTATATAATTTTTATAGTATACCTATATTATAGGTATTTATGTATATATTTGTCAATGACTCTTAATAATTACTTTTGTTTTAATTGTGCACCACCATCTGTTTCCCCACAGCACTCTAAGGTTGATTGGAAGATAATGCCTAAAGCATTAAGTCTGTCAATGTACAGTTCTTGTGCATAAAGAATTCAATAAATAAATATGTTTAAGATTAAGATATTGTTGTGATTCATGATGTTATTGTTAATATAACCTCCTTTTTAATTTTAGATAGGACAATTTTTCTCTTCTATATTATCTAAAAAGGAGGAATTAAATACTTTGCCTGACTGTGGAAGAAAACGGCAACAGGTCAACCCTAAAGACAATTTCTGGCCTGCTACAGCACGCACCAAAGCACAAATCGAAGCATGGTTCAAAGACTTAGCTGGTAAGTTACAAATATACATAATTACAACATAATAGAAACTCAAAATGTACCTCGCTTATAAATTAATTTTGTTCCCAACATGATAATCTTGCTTTATGTGACACAGTAATAGGGATGATGACTAATTTTTGTTTGTTTATCTGTCAAGTAGAGTGTTAAAAAATATTAAAGACATATTTTTTTATTTTTTTCGTAATCATAAAATTACGGCGTTACATTGAGTTAAAATTTCGCATGACGTCACGTTAGAGTACATTTTCTACTCAACTGTGACATAGCGAGCCCCCACTCCTCAACTTTAATGCCTATTTCTTGTTAAATTGAAGTAAAAAAAAATACATATCTAATATTTTTCTATTATCTGACTAATGATTTTTTTTACCCAGTCATCATCCCTATTGTGGCATACTATACACCCTTTATTGAATTTAGTCATTTTATTTTTATAAGTTTATATCACAGAACATAGAGAGAGATTAGAAGTATAATGATATTAATTTAGTATGGGAACCGAGTGTCGCCTCTCCGCACACAAATACAGATTAGATGAAATGATCATTTTGTTCACTACATGAAAAACCGCCACGCGATAGGTTCGCGATAACATAAACCAAATCCCAAAAAGATACTAAGCTAAGAAATCACACGATTAAAAACAAACTCTAATTCAACGTGATAATAAATAATTTACTTTAACATGAATGTTGAACTGTCACGTGGCTGTATATGGGGATACCAGAAGGAAAAAAATATTTTAAGATTATGCACATTTAAAAAAATTGGGGTCATCATTTTATGTGCGAACTATTAATATTAGATTTTGCTGTAACCAAGTGAATACTGAAAAATTAAGGCTTTTCCCTACATAATTTATTAAAATATCTTTTAAAAAACGCAGTACAAAAACTAAGAAAACTTAATGATACACTCTATCGTATGTCTGTGGAGTAATATAATTAAGCGAGGGAAAGTGTAAAAAAAAACAAAAATTAAGAAAACAACAGAATTTTTGTATTAATTACATTAAGCCTAATTTGTATTTTTTTCTTACTGGTATCATTCCGATTGTGCATATTAGTGATGTGACATATTAGTTGATAAAATAAGAGCTTTAAATTTTGTTATGAAACAGTTCAATGTAATTCAGTTCGACAATTTTCTACAGTGGTTTGATAGTAATTATTTAAAGCTTTATTCAAATAAAACGAAATACATAAAGTTTGCATTACCTAATGTGAGGCATGTTAATATACTTATAAATGTAAATAGTGAAAAAGTTGAGATGGTGGAATCGTCAAAGTTCCTTGGTATTTTGGTATATTGATAATTTGTCAAGTAGACTGAGTTCTGCAGCATTTGCTGTTAAGAAAATTAGACTCTTAACAAATGTTGAAACGGCAAGATTGGTATATTTTAGTTATTTTCATAGTGTAATGAATGACGTATAATCTATTGTTATGGGGTTCTGCGGCTAGCATTCAAGATATTTTTATTCTACAAAAGAGAGCTGTCCACGCTATATATAATTTACGGTCTAGAGAATCTCTCAGAGAAATATTTAAAGAAATAAATATTTTGACTGTTGCCTCTCAATACACCAATGAAAATATTATGTACGCAAGAAAACATTACGATTCCTTCACAAAAAAAAGTAGAAATAAAAATAAACTTGCCATTCCAAGTGCTTGTAATAGCCTTCTTGAATAAAGATATTTTCATTTCATTTCATAATAACTAATATGATCATTACACTAATAAATTGATCATAGCCATGTTTGTTTTACTTTATTATTCTAAGTTTTATATCTGTAATAATAGTAGTAGCTACATTATTAATTGCAACGACTGGACAATAAGGAATTGCTGGTCAAGTATGAGTTTGAAAGCCGTGACAAAAAAGTTTGAAGATAGACACAAAAGCTATAAGTACGTACAAACGTCAATCTACATATAAAGTCACATCCGTTTGAGACATGCGTCTATAAACTTATGTGCAAATATGGAGCAACAAAAAAACTGATAAAAGCTGTTCTGTGGGCGGTTCTTTAAAGTGGCTTTCTTAACTCGATTTCTATAATAATAGTTTCCGATTATGAATCAGCATAATAAGGTAAATTAAATCGACGCCTAAAAATTAATTTTGTAAATTAAATTCACACCACCAACAATATTACGTTAGTTGAAAACATAATTTTTTGTTTGTATAGATATTATGTTGTTTTGAAATTCATTTGATAGGTTTAGGTCTAAAACAGATAGGGCAAAATTAATTGTGTAAACAAGGCAATCCGTTGTAAAGTTATTAGGGAAACTGAAATATAAGTAATGCAAAATAAGTGAAATCCAGTTTCACCAGTTTCTAACAAGACCTATTAGGCCAACTCTTAGCTTTTCACGAAGTTGCGTTTAATTTATGTATTGTTCATAAAACGGTGATATACTTCGTAACTCAGATATTTATAGCACATCAGTATTTTTTAATATTTATCTGCGTGTAAATAATTAACTGAATCTTCGTAAAAAAAGTGCCTGGACAGTTCATTATTTCATTTGTTCAGTATCAGTTCATCTATAATTTTCCCTTGTAAACAGTATTTTTTAGTTTTATATAATTATGGCATATATTTATCGATAACGTTGTTATGAAATGATGAAAGAAAAGCTCTAAATAAATATGTTTTAGTTATCGATTACGATCCATATAATTAACAATACGATTCCGAGCAGCAGCAGCCTATCGGTACATTTCAGACAAATGGAGGCACAGCACTATTTTTTGCAAAAGTGCACAAAATGATTTACATTGCTGTTTAGTAATGGGGTCAGAAACATTGATGTTGGTTTGAGCAATCAATGTATATTTTATTTAACATTGTGTCAAATTATTACGTTTTTTTATATTTTAGCACTAAAATTGTACTTATCAGTGAAAGGAAATGTTTGCATTAGTTAGATTGTATACTTTGCTTTGCTTTTTGCAAGTGATAATAGCACAAAACGGCATTTTTTATAGAAAAAATCTGTAAAATCACCACTCGACGATTGACGAACGACTGGCAAACATAAAACCGAGGAAAGGGCGTCATATGAGTAAAAGCGCATATGCCAGCGACGCGTGCCCCGCCCACTTACTACTTCTATTCTCTCTCTATGTTCTGTGGTTTATATAGATTAATAATAACATTCTACAATCAATAACTATTATGAATTATTCTATAATCGTTACCATTGTGTATAAAAAAATTGTCGGTCTTACAGTCAGTTGCACAATCATCCATTAAGGTTTAATGACGCCTTTAAGCTTAATGAATGTCAAATTTGTATGGATAATATCGCTTTAAACTAATGAAAAATTTAATGGATGTTTGTGCAACTAGGTGTTACTCCAGCCAACCCAACTACGCCTAGCAGCACAAGCTTTTTAGGGACTTCACAGACTTCGCAACATGTTCAAAGATTATTATTACCAGTCTCACCTTGATAAACTGTAGATATCTTTTGCTTGTGTAACTAGTTTGATTTATCAGATTCAACTGTTTTAAATGGATTAACACTCAGTTGCACAGCTTAATAACAAATTTAAGTTCTAATGAAAGTTCTAAATTTGAAGATTTGTATTGATAATCTATAATCCTATTAGTATTATCAGAAAGTTATACATATAGTGAAATATGAGCCACAATGTATCAATCTAATGTATTGAAAATGTCAAAATGGTCCTGATGATGAAGAAGTGTGACTCCTCCATAAGCTTTGTTTTAAACTGAGACCTCATCTTCATAGCAGTAACACAACTATTTGTCACTATAAATTATAATCTGTGGTCAGGTCTATCAAAATATACAACCTAACAATAATCTAGGTGTTGTTTCAAAATAACTCCAAACAAATCCACAACTCAAAGAAATATCTAATACCATATATTTACATTATACATTTCAGGAAACAAACCACTATCGCAACTTGCCAAAAAAGCACCAAACTTCAACAAGAAAGAGGAAATATTTATAACTCTCACAGAGTTTCAAGTTTCTATGCCAAGAGCTGCCTGGTTTATAAAGTTGAGTTCAGCATACACCGTTGCTGTGTCAGAAGCAAAAATAAAAAAGAGACAGCTGCCAGACCCCACAACAGGTGACATATATTAAACTTTACATTTATAGAACTAAACTACTTGTATTAAAGTATAAAGTAAGAGCTTCATGACTTGGTAAGTAGAGTATATATGAAAGAGTATGAACCTACCCTTATACTTACTATTATTATTTTCAGAATGGACCACAACTTTAATCAAATTTTTAAAAGATCAAATACCAAAGCTAGCAGAGCACTATCAAAGTGCCATCCCAGGAAGCATATCAGATAAAACACCACCTTCACAGTCAGGTATGCTAGAAATTATTATAGCTTTTATTATTCACAAAGTAAGTAAGTTGTTACATAAATTTTCAGATTATTTGACAACCTGCAAAAGGTAGCAATGTTAGGTAGCTCCCATATTAAATGAATGTTTTTGTAAAACCATATTTAATTACATAAAATAAAATATATAATTAAACCCTATAAACATCTGTATGATACACAGCTGCATATCAGGTTACTACAACATGTTAAATATCCTCAACTGATCTTGTACTATACCATTAATATATTAAGGTTTAAAATCAAGTCGAACATTTTGTAGGTTTTCTATAACTTGACATATTTTCATGCATGACTGTATATTTTTATGCGTCATTATTCTATAATAAAATTTCAGGTCAAGGTACTCCAAGTCACAATTCATCGGGTAACCCGCCTGGTGGGTCTACTCCCAACTCAACTGTACCCAACTCTATGCATTCTCCTAGTGCATCAAATGGTATCTTTACAAAATATTTATAAACACACCTAAAATCTATAAACAACATCATAGACATTGCTTATATCCCAAGAAATAAACCAAATTTTCATGCTACAATGAAAATTTAAAAACTAGACATTATAGGAAAATGGTTTTCTATATTGACCCGACTAGGAATGAAGATGGAACCCCAAGAATGACGTCACGCCCCTGGCACTCATATGAGATTTTTTTTTTCCAGTCTTCCATCCTTTGCGAATGTTGCTTAACAATAATACAACGATCGTGGTCGCTCTTATCCATTATAAGCTTAACCACACCAAGCTACTCTTTTTATATTGTTCTAATACATTTTCAGGATTGGGGTCATCAACTCCCAATTCTACTGAAAGCACTGACTGGCGACAAGCTCTGAAACTTTGGAACTATTGCTGTAGACTAGCCAAATATTTGCTTGACGAGGGTCTGTTAGACCGACATGACTTCCTTACTTGGATCATTGAATTACTTGACAAGAGAGCACCAGATGATGGTTTACTAAGGTAAGGGTTTCGAGATAATTCTTAACTTCACATATCATCTTATATCATTGATAACAATAAAATATAAGATTTTGATAAGGACTCAAACAGAAATGTATCTTATTTTGAAGTACGCAGAGAGCAAAATTTACCTAATTCACAGACTCTGTACTCTGATTTTTAATTAGATGGACTAAACTGACAGCTCAATTCACCTATTTTTTATACTTTTATCTTTCTAATAAAAATAGTTACAGTCCCGCTGAAATTATAGTTTCAAATACACAACTTCATTTTCAGTTTTTCTAATCATTAAAAAGTACCAATGTTTAAAATGTTTTAACTATAAGGTAAACTTAAAAGTTATATATGAAATGTGAATAATTCATGATTCACTACACTACCTATCATTTAGTCCACAACAATGTTTTTTATTTTCGATAATATGGCAATCCACTAAATGTCAGTTAAGTCCATGTAATATTAATTATAATAGTGTTGTTTCGATAGTGAAAAATCTAAGGCAAGGTAATGTATTAATTTTTTAAGAAATTTACTTAATTTTTGCTTTTTAAAATTAAAATAAACAATTTTCAAATAGAGTAGAATACCCTATTGTTTTAGTAACTGTCAATGTCACTTATCTCACAATATTTTATTCCATCTTACTCTCGTTCCTAACCACAAAACCATCACCATCACCAGCCTATCAGTGTCTCCACTATTGAGGCCCAGGCCTTCCCTATGGAAGGAAACGAAAAAAAAACGCGGGCCCAGTGCAGATTGGTGGGTGTTAACGACTGTAGATGCACCCGGACCAATGGCTTAACGTGCCTTCCAAAGCATGAAAGAGCTCGAGATAGTAAATTGTTGGTCACCCATCCCATTAACGGCCTTTGCAAAAGTTTGCGCGCTAAACACTGCGCCATCGAGCTCCTGACCTGACCTTACATCGAATAAACATTTTAAAGTTATTTATTGTTGGTTTTAATTTCAGGTTATTTCTACCACTTGCCCTTCAACATATGGGCGAGTTCGTTTGTTGTGAGGGTTTGTCTCGTCGTCTCGCCACCACCTGCGCGAAGAAATCTGCGTCCATTTGCTCAGTGCTCTCTGAAAGTACACTGCGCACTTTAAATCAACCTGCTGTATTTACCAAAGCCGTAGATAGATCAGGAGGTGAGAAAACAGAATAAACTGAGTCTGTAACTTGTACTTTATTATCCAGACGGTCACGTCACATCGGATCATCATGATTGATTATTAAAGTCAAATTCAAAATAGAGGCTTTGACTTTAATTTATTGTATGTAACGTTAAAACACCGAGATATTTAAGTAAAAATTACTGCGCAGGCAGAAAATCAGCTAAACAAAATAATAATTGTCTTTAATCGATTTTACACCTTAACATTTTGAGACTAGAATTCAAAATCGTTTGCTGGAATTTTTCATGTCATTGTAACTTAATGTGCTGACCTGTACAAAGTAAGAATTTACTTTTCCTTGCAGAAGCTATAGCTCCAATGTCGCCAGCGCCCGAAGCAAACGGCGATGTTAAACCAAACATATCCCAAATAAAAAGGTCAACGACCCCCGCTGAACAAAGTCAAGGAACGCCCAATCCTAACCATTCAATCGGTACACCGAATCCAAATCACTCATTGGGCACACCTAACCCAATGGGCACGCCTAATCCTCAGCAACCAATGGATGTACAAGTGAAAGAGGAGAATGATGCTCCACCAAGGGACCAGAAGACCACCCTGACTACTGTCATAGCGGCCGCCTTAAATCCTGTACAGGTCGGCTTCGGGGAAGTCCTAAATTGCCAGTACCATAGGGACGTTATTATACAGTTGGCAACAATTTTACAAGTGAGTATTTTATACAGTTATTAATTTTTATCTTACGATTTCTCGATGTCATTATCTGTACATATAGCAATTTTTAAAAATATTTTTTGTTTAGAAATATTATTTTGCTTTTTAACTTATAAATATATGTTGTTTATAGAATAGATTTTCTGTAATAACATTATTCGTTTATTAATAATAGAGAAGGCAATTGTCAACTTGGTGCTTCCTTCAGAACTTAGACAAATGAATTAATTAGTTCACAATGAATGAATCATGCCTTATAGGTCAATAAACCAATGAACGTGCAAGAGACAGAGCCCAGTTTTACTCAGATGAATGATAAAATTTCTTATAAAACAGTGGAAAACCACAACGAAATCTATTGCATCGTTTAAGAGAGTTAAAAGCCATACAGACAGGGAATTGCAGTCGAAAATGGACTTAAATTTACACTATATACTAACAGATACCTTCTTCTCACCAGATTATATGCGTTGAATGCCCTACTGCTATGGTGTGGTCGGGATGCGGATCTTCACTGCAAGGCTCACCTCTAGATTTATTACCGCTTCCGCCATCAGCGTTGCCCATGCCACACATGGATTCTCCTGTTACTGAAGACCATAGGAGGATGGTATGATTAGAAACCTACATTAATTTATCTAACAAAAAAATATAAGAACTGGGAAAAAAAATAAAAATTGAAGTATTTAGTCAAATAATCTGTTTACTGTTGATACATTAATCTTTTCTATAGCAGGAAACAATTGCAATTTTTAAAATGGTAAAGTTATTTTCATTCTCTGAATGTGTGTGTATATCTTAGTATGGATACGACATAATTAAAATGTAAATGTTTATATGGAAATGACCCAAGAATAGAAAGTTACAAAACATTTCAGAACTTAGATAAATGAAGTAATATTAGGTTATGATGAATGAATTGTACCTTATTGGTCGATAAATGAAAATTGGTAACAGAAGTCACTCATACTCAGTATGCGGACTCCACTACCACAGGCATAATATACGGCGTGTCCTAACTAGATACCCTAGACTAGACCTCGATTTAAATAGATAATTCATTTTTATCAACACTGTTTATTATATTAACAGGTTTATGAGGCTGAACAAGAAATCGCAGCCAGAAGTAAGAAAGCTGAAAGTAAATGGTGTACGGACAAATGGCAAACAAGTTCTCAAGGTATAATGTTTTATTTTTATATATTATCATCAACGTTTATCATTTGCTTGTCCTTTTCCCAATTGTTTATTGGCGAGCAACGCAACATTCTTTCATACTTCTCGAACATACAACATCTCAACTTTCATTCTTTTCTTACATATCCAAAAATGCAGTTCGAAAACTCATTAAATGAAGTTACACAATAGTTACATTATTTTTATCTATAACTTTATGCTTTGTAACCTGCTTTAAATTACTGCATGCCCACCGGTTTGTCAAAATTTCAAAGTCCCTTTACTCTAATCACTATATTACAAAAATATATAATGAGTCATCCTTTCTCATCACATGTCCATATCAAGATAATCTATTACTTCTCAATTTTTTCTGCCACTGATGCTACTTGCAAACTTCCTCTAATGTATTCTTCACTTTGTCCGGTCTCGTCATTCAACATTATCATTATTATAACAGATTGACGAATTTATTGAATGTGATTGATATTCTGACAACTACTATGAGATTTATTACTATAATTTATCAGTAAGTAAATTCTACATCTAATGAGATATGATTTATGTTGTTCTCCACTCATTCAGGCTTACAACTTGAAACTACTTGTATCAATGAAATAAAAAACAGTTGCACAATTTTAATAGTTATGTTGCCTAAACTGTACATATTTAAAAAAAAAAAGTGGTAAATAGATATTTATCTTGTAAAATTTCATATTTTTGTCAGCACGTGTACTCGCCGTATTGGAAGCATTGGATAGGCACTGCTTTGACCGCGTCGACCCCAACAATAACTTGGATACACTGTACAAAGAAGTTTTTGCTAATTGCGCGTCACCAACCAAAGACTCGACCATAGACACCAAAGATCCGGTTAGTATATGATATAAATTTTGTTACACATAAAAGTATGTAGCAATATTATATGTAGTTAAAATAAAAAATAACAGTCTCCCAACGCAGACTGTTTTCTCTCTATTTCTAAAAGGACATAGGTACACACTTTAGGTATAATTTTTAATTTACTGTTACTATTCTTCTTTGACAAAGGACTTCCTTGATTTCTTCGAAATAGGATTAAACAAAGTGCACTTAGCGTTTATCAAATTGAACATTAAGTGCAGTTAATTAAAACTGATGCCAATCGGATTGAATTCAATCTAATTGCGCGATAGGCCTGATGATTTATAAGCATTAACGTCTAAATGCCTATATATTGAAAAATATTAAAAGAAATTAAGAATTTTTATACTATAGGTGAATGACAAATCAAATTCTTTCAATAGGCACGATGACTGGGTAAAAAATATAAATTCTGTTCAGTCCGCCAGTGAAATAATAGAAAAATATTAGATATATATTTGTTGCTCCAATTTAACAATAAACTGCTTAGATGATATGCATTAAAGTTGAGAAGTGTGGGGCGCGCTAAGTCACAACTTTGTAGAAAATTTACAAAGGTGTGATGTCATATGACTTACAACTCAATGTATCGCTGTAATTTATTGATTACGAAAAAAATAAGTGTTTAATACTCTTCAATAATCTATCTAATGGACAAACGAATAAAAATTAGTCTTCTGCCCTATTGCCGATTGCATTGTTTTATTAGTTTTTTGTTGTGATTTCTACCTGTATATGATCTAGGAATGGGCGTGTTCGTATGCCGTTGTGAAAGTTCTGTGCGAATGGGCTGTGTGTGGCGCCAGATTCGGCGAACATAGAGCGCAAGCCGCCGCCGCTTTACTAGACAAGAGGCAACAACAGCTGTTACATCAACACCACGAACATCACGCCACAGGTATAATCCTTACGTAAACATAATCCGTATTATTATAAAAACGAGGACTTTAGTATCAGGTTTAAACCATTCATCATCAAATAATTCAGGCGATGGTCCATCAGCCTTTTTAAAGTACCACTGCTGAGGCTCAAGGTCATCCTGCCCGGGTGGGACTGGGTTGGTTTCGTCGGGTGCTACGACCAACGGGGGGGGGGGGGGGGGGGGGATTCACGCCTAGGTGGGTCCTGCACATCCTTGCCCTCCCTGGGGGGTATGACCCAAATGTTGCTGGACCTGGGCGAACGGCGCGGGAAGTGGTCTTCAGACTGTACCCATGCATCGCCTTCATGGAGAAATCGTTAGGTTTTAGTGGGTATACCCCTACTATTTGACTGTACCCCCATGTTTGATCGCCCATCCCGTGACCAACCATTGCGAAAGTTGCTTAACAACAACAATTATTCCTTTATCTAAATCATTATCCGACGAAATTAGTCGACATATCTCAATTAGACGTTTTCTCTTCCGTCATTGTCAATTTGCTTTAGGTGACAAATGGTTTAAACCAAGTACTAACTTTAGTCCTCGTTTTATAACAAGGCAAAATGAATGTTAAGCAAAAACTTGTGACCTCTTTTTATGAAACTTTCATGCTTTTAGGCGCATGAAATTTGACACATTTAAAGTTTATATCAAGAATAAACAGAATACTAATATTGTCATAGAAGTGCTTAAAAGTAGATTAAATTAATAATAAAAAATGGCGTATTTTAGTGAATGACAAAACAGTCGTAACGAATTATAATAAAATCTTAATGATGTTAAAATTTTATGGTCGTAAATTTTGGAACCTCCGTTATCTCAGAATCACCAAGGAAATGTCAGTGTTCTAAACATTTTCAGATTTATTTTATCGGTATTTTAAAAAGGTCAATGTCAATATACGGAATTGTTTCATACATCCAATGCACAACAGAAAGTTACTTGACCATAGAATTAACCATTCAAATGAATTAACTAACGTGAGTTGTTTTTAGGTTCCGACGATAAAGAGTCTGTGAGTTCTGGTACTGGCCTTTACAATGGACCACCAATATTTCAAAACCTCTTGCTGCGGTTCTTGGACAATGATGCGCCCGTATTGGGTATGTTATTTTTTTTTTTTACCTATTAACAAGTTCAATCATAGACACGTGCAATCTGGTTAATATTTAAGTCTTTAAATTATTGGTATTGTTTTTTCAAATTTTTTTTATCTATCTTACAAATCTTTAAGTACAAAATAATATGTAAATTTTAATCACACACCTACAATGATTATTAACACATATACTAGCCAATGGGGTAAACTAAGTAAACTGTTTTGCATATTAAATTATACTAAATATCGAATTTATTATCTATACTAATAACATAAAGAGGATTTTTGTTTTGTTTAATTTTTAATAGGCTCCGAAATTATTAGACCGATTTTAAAAATTATTTCACCTACGATAAACTACATCATAGGTTGCAAAGGCTATATACATATGTATGTGTATGTATATACTGGGTTATGTGTAATTAGACCGGATCCTTTTAAGGGGTCGTAGGGGAGGTCATTTACAATTACGAGTATTTTCACCTCACATTATGTATCCGAAAGTGAGCCATTTTTGTGATAATTTTTTTTTTCTTTAAAAAGTCGAAACAAAATTAAATTATGGTCAGAATGTAATTTTGTTGACAGATTTGGAGAAATAACATTCCAGTTCGTGATAAATAATAATAAAATCCAAATAACCTTGCCCCAAATAAACTAGTGTTTAAAATAAAAAAACCTTTTTATTGTTGTAAATTTCGGATATACAATACGGGGGAATGGGAACGCTTTTGTCCGACTTTGACGTCATTATCTAGTATATATCTATCGTTGTATGAGTGTGGTTTTACTCTTTCATATCTCAGTAAATAATTTAAATATTTATTTGTTCTTGCCAATTTTGTTTATTTGAACTTGATAGCTTGAGATTTATGTATGAATGAAATACCGATAACTATTCTATGTTTGTTATTTTGGTTTCTAGATGAGAGCCCTAACGCTCCGCCGGGCAACAGGCAACAGTTCGCTAACTTAGTGCATCTATTCGGTGAACTTATTCGGCGGGACGTATTTTCTCATGACGCGTACATGTGTACTCTTATTTCTAGAGGTAACGTAGCTAATTATGTACGGATAGACTATTTTACTCGTTTCGATTTTGAAGTTAATTTAATATATTACCTGTTTGTTTGTTTACTTGTTTGGGAAACTATAGATTATGTGACGTTATTCTATTCGTGAACAGACAAAGTATCACCCTTAAAACCGTCACGGGAATTGGCTATTTAACAGTTATAACAATAAAAGGTGAATTATGTTGAAAACGATAACTTATATGTAATACAATAAATTGTAAATATATGTTATGCGTTTCGTAATCTGTGGATTACATGAACCGAAATACAGGCGGTCATGACGGAACATCGTGTGATGTAACACGAGCATCACTCCAAACAAAACGTTAACGTCTTTGTTGCGAGTGCAACCAGTAATCATGTTTATTGAAATGTGACGTCATTGCTCAAAATGTCACATGACTGATTGTTTTTGTGGTACAATTTAAATTAATGAATAAAACATATTTTTATTTTATTATATAAACACTTTTGAGGAAAAACTAAATCTGATAGTGGGTTAATATTATCATAAGTTTAAAAATTCTTTCCCAAATAGTCAAGTAGTCAATTGAATCCGGATCATACTTAAAAGAATAATAATTCGAGTATTTAGTTACGAGGATGTTTATTTAATTTACTCGTGCAGGTGACTTGATATCTCCTACGGAACCAACTACCTCTAGCAATAGCGGCAGCGGGCACACAGTGGCGCCTCCAGTGAATAGTACTGGAACTAACCACAATATGGACGATGACATATTCGCTGGCATCGATCTCAAACCACCCAAAATGGAGGTAATTGTAATGATTCTCTATTTTTGCCATGAAATTGCTTAAGGGACTACTTTTTATTATTCAACATATTTTTGGTTTTAGGAAAATGTTAGAATGGATTTAGACGATTCAAAGATTGACGATGATTTAGATAAGCTATTGCAACATATCAAAGTGGACCAACAAAATTCAATGGATGCTCCGGACAGCCCCAAGGACCCTGGGGAACCTTCACATAGGTGACATATTGTTTGATGATTATGTTTAAATATTTGCTCATATATGTGCATTTATAATTTCGCATTGGCTCGTCGAGTGACCAAAATTTAGTTTAGGAAACCATTTTAAACTGCTGGTCTCTGTTCCATTGACTCTCTCACTATATATTTCCAGTTGTATGTAGGTTATGGGTTCTAGGAATGGGGAAAGCCTATGTGTGTGTTAAATATAACCGCCGCTTTACAGCCAGGAGAGAATGACGACTCTATAATAATTAATATAACTCTTTTCTCTTAGTGACTCACTTCCTCAAAGATTACCATAGCCAGATCCCAAGGCCGCCAGACAATACCTCTTTTCTTCTTATCAAAATATATTGGATAAAAGTATATACGTTCTTATTACTTAGATTATACGTTAATACTGATACTTTAACCCGATAGCCATTGATTGACACAATATTCTCTAACGTATACAAGAAAGACCGAGCTGGCAGATAGGCATACAATCTAATTAATACATTGAGCCGGAGACTTTTTTACCACTGTAGTTAAGCTCATAAACTAACAATAGTTTTTAATGATATTGTCATTATCTTAAGCATTGTTTCACAGTGTGTGTTAAATAATTTTTTTTTTGTTATTAACACTATCCATTCTGTTCATCAGAAAATAAGCAATGTCTGGCTGCTTATTATAAATTGTATTATTTTTATTATAACTGTCAATCACTAATAAAATAATTTTCAGCGTTACTTCACCTATGATGGGGCCAAGTGGAATGGGCATCCCGGGTATGCCATCCATGGCTATGGGACCAATGTCTGTTCCAGGTAATTTTTTTTTTTTTCAATACTACATTTATGTTGGACAGGTATCTTATAGATCGCTACGTTTGAATGTTGACTTATAAATTATACTTGTGCATTGGAAATAATTTATGTTTGATTATTTTTCTGTATTATTCGATTCCGATCTATACATACTAATATAATAAAGAAGAAAGGTTTGATTGTTGTGTTTGCAACGAATAAGCTCCGAAACTACTGGACCGTTTAAAAAATTCTTTCACCTACGCAAAGCTACATCATATGCGGTGAACATAGCTTATATCCCGAAAAACAGAGAACAAGGGCTGAAAATGAGAGTGGAAGTTTGTATAGAGAATTAAAACGTTGCCATAGTAATCATTGTTTTCTATTAAATTTGTCATTGTAATTATATCCGTTTCATGATATGAATGGATATCCACATTAAAGTTCCCTAAGGACCATGTCAACCACATGACATGGTCCTTAGGGAATCGAATATGGAGAATGGACAGTGACCCACCACGCGGGCTCAGTGTGGATTGGTGGGTGTTAACAACTGCAGATGCAGGACCAACTGCTTAACATGCCTTCCGAAGCATGGAGGAGCGGGAGTTAATAAATTTTTGGTCACCCATCCTATGATCGGCTCTTGCGAAAGTTGCTCAACGACCGAGCGCGCTAACCTCTGCGCCATCGAGCTTCCCCCTTCTGCATCTCAAATCCGCACTCTGCCTTGAGATGCAGTTGGGACTCTGCATTCGATTATATTCATATGAAGTGTGTGTGCCCCAGCTGTGGGGACTATAATAGACTGATGCTGATGATGAAAAGATAAACAAATTATTTAATAATACCTCTGTATCTTCTGTAACTTCTTTGAGCATTGAAATAAAACAAAAATATGTTATTGAAACTATTATTTGAATTACGATATTTTCGTTTTATGTTCGCTCAACGTGTAGGTATACGTACGACTAGCGCGGGTCCCTCTAGCGCATGCGCAGCGCCGCCGCTAGTTTCCTGCCATTATCACTACACTATGCATTTCCCTCTGCCACCGGCGGAACCCGAACACACTCCCCATGATGCAAACCAGAGGCATATATTGTTGTACGGTGTTGGAAGACAGCGCGATGAAGCCAAACATGCGGTTAAGAAAATGACTAAAGGTAAAGTTTACATGAAAATTTGCACAAATTAATCATGAACCTTTTTTCTGGCAAGTATTGTTAAATGGAGGTTATGTTGATAATGACTGTAAGACGACGTTAAAACGCCTTAAAATAAAATTTGTACAAATGAGACGTGTTAAAAGCAGTTTAAATTTGTTTTATTATATATCAAACTTTCTTTTTTTTGCATTTTGTAAATAAATCCAATAAGGAACATGTGAACGAATATTTTTATTTTCTTTGCAGAAATATGTAAATTGTTCTCCAAGAAGTTCTCTATCGACGTGGCCGAAGGTGGTAAAATTAAGAAACACTCACGCAGCGAGTTTAATTTTGAAGCTGTCACTCACAAATTCCAGGTAGGATATCATGTTAAACCATCTGAAGGATTTTGTGCAGATTTGTAAATGGGTTTCGGCAATTTAAATTTTAACTTTGAGTTTTATTGATAAATACAGGAAATATCTCCGAAATATTAATCTAGTGTGCTTATTATGTAATAAGAATATTTTAAAACGATTTTTCAAAATTAGTCAAACTTATGATAGATTAAGATAGTATACAGACTGCAAATACTGAAAACTAATTTTTCTTAAAAAATATATATTTATTTTATATGATTACTGTCCGCTCATGTATTTCTTTATGAAAAAGCTTCTGATTCCGGTCGTTTGTGAGCTATTTTATAATGTGCCCAGGCGATGTCGATGTACGAACAAGGTGCGGTCTCGTGGGCGGTGGGCGGGGCCGTGTGCGAAGCCCTAGCGGCGTACGCGGTGGGTGCCACCACATACTTGCCGCAGCCCGAACATGTCGCGTTCGCGCTCGATCTCATGGAAATCGCTCTTAACGTGCACGGACTCATCGAGACTTGCATACAGGTAACTAATCTACTTTACATAAGTACATAAACTATTTGTTTTTATATCGCAGAGGAAATGTGGGATCATGGAATTCCTGTGTAAAGAACGATTGATGACAAATTAGGAAACTGATGTATAAAACCAAAGGTTGAACTAAGAAGCCTGGAGAAAGTGATGACAGTGACCTTATATAACCAGCGAACATGTTATGATAGATGTTATAAATCTCAAGTACTCGGGAGACTTACCTAATGGCGCTCAGTTTTCTATTAATTTTGACGTTACAATCGCACTTCAATAGAATCAACTAATTGCATTATACATATACACATCTACCTGAAGTCCAATATTATTAGTGCAATGACAAGAACTGTGTCATAAAGAAATGTAGTTTAAGTGCTTTTGATTTTCCATGATTACGCTAACAGATATTATTAAAAATATATACATATATATTTTTATTGTTTTGCTTTCTTAGATTTTGAAAGAGTTATCTGAAGTGGAAGGGGCTTTGATAACACGGGGGGCTCCGAGCAGCGGACTCGCAGCCCCCCGGGCCTACACATCGGCGCTTGCCCTATACACAGTTGGCGCTCTAAGAAGATACCATTCATGTCTATTGCGTGAGTACCTGTTTAATTACGCGGAGGTTTTTCACTGGTTATATAGCTTTTCATATTAATTCCCATTCAATAGGGAATATGCGTTTGATTCAAAAAAGGTTTAAATATATTTTATTGCGATCATTATTGCTTTAGAATAAAGTCTATGTTAACATTTTTCAACATTAGTTCGTTTTCGTACTGAAAATAATTATTAAAAAGTGCAACAAAAGATGCGGTAACTTCAAAATATTCAAACGCCATGCTACTTGTCAGAGCGGATGTGACGAAAATGTACACGTATAGGGACGTCGTTGTTATAAAAAGTTAACGTCGATGCAATAACATCAATGTATTAAGTCCCAAAACATAAAAGACATAGTTTATAATTTTTAATTCTAAGCATTTGACATTTATTGTACTTAATTGAAAATTACCAAACAATTAACATTAATTTTATATACTTATGATTATTTTTAAAATGAAAATTAGGGACGAATGCGAATTTAAATGAAATTTTATGAATGTAAGATATTGAGGAAAGTGAAGATATAGAAGATTTTATTTAAAGCATTTACTATTTACAATGAAATTTTAATTTTAATTTAAATTTGCTACACCCTTACAGGGTGTCACATAAACTGTACCTAATAATAACACCTGATTTACTATGTGACATGAATTATGAATATGAATAAAAAAAAATAAACAACAGATTACAATTTAAATGATGTTTTAGGCTTTTATTTTTATTTCACTAATTTGGTAAACTATACGAGTTATTAAAAAAGTCTATTACACTTTTAAAATCGATTAATTGCTAATCGATTTAGGTTATTGAATAATAATCAATCACTCAAAATCCATATTGATTTAAAATGTTATATCTCCAGTCGTGTACTTAAACGTCACGACAAGCTTTTTGTAACGTTCGTGACGTGTCAGGAATTTTTGATCGATCGTAGCTATTACTTATTTTCATCAATTATTAATGTTACAAAATGTTAGTATTTCGTTGCTGGGTATTTTTTTACAGTTATATATCGATGTATATTATCAATTAAAAACATTTTCCAAAAATGTGCATATTCCCTATTTGAAAAGGATAGTAACTCTTATCTACGTATTCAACCTCTTTATATCCCCAAAATAAATCTGAATTTATATTTATTCACATTATTGCTTTTATCCACGTGTATATTATATTAGCTTATAGTCTTATGTCACCCGCGTATGATGTTGCTTCCTGCAGGGGAAAAAATTTTCATTCCCATTTCTTATCGATTCCGAAAATTCAGATCAGTGTTTCCTGAGATTACCCCGTACAAGTAAACAAAGTTAGAAACTACCTATTTCAAATATTGTCTATACTAATATCATCTTATGCGGTGAACATAAGCTATATTTTATTTCGAAAAACTGCAAAGGGATAAAAATGATAGTGAAAGTTTGTATAGGGCATGAAAACGTTACCGTATTAACAATTGTTTACTATTCAATTTGTTATTGTAATCATATTCGTGTCACGATATGATAAATTATTATAAATTTATTTAACTTGTTTACATAGGAGTAAATAATCTTACTAATTTTATCCCACTAAACACTTTTGTATATAATCAAAGTGTTAACAGTTCCTTAGGGATCACGTGGGTGAAACCGCTGGCAGAGAGCTAGTTAATAATGGTTTTGACATCCTATTATTTTGGTTCAGTGTGCGTTGAGCAGACGACAGCTGTCTTCGAACAGCTGTGCCGGCTGGTGAAATGCGTGGTGAATCCTGGCGATTGCGGATCAGCGGAAAGATGCGTACTGGCACAACTACATGATCTGTACAAAGCGGCAGCCCATCTATGTCACGCGCCACATGCGGATACCTTTGCCAACGCTTACCCAAAGATCAAGTAATTGGAATGATTTATAAATTATTTGAAATTATTGGTGTAGGTAGAATTAATTTTGTTACTTAGAATCTTTAATCGTAATTTTCATTTACATGTGCATAAAGAAAAAAAGTGAACTTGGATGAATGCCACAAGGAAGTTAACTTGGCCCGGTCTTTTTCTCGATCTACATTAATGATATTCATGAGAATGCTTCTACGGAAATTTCCTCTTCACAAAAGCTTACTTAATAAGCATATATAAATAGCAAAATCAGTTGCAAAACTTAACTTTGTATACCAACACTTATGTTCAACAACAGCAACTTCAGTAAAACAAAGTTTTTTTATTATTTTGTTACAGACAAGCTCTCTATTCGCCACTACAACCGACGCCTTCAAATTACTCATATAATCCGCAGTTTTTAAGTGAATTTTTCACCAATCCTCGAAAAGGTACGTTAAAATTCTTGTTTACCGACTTTATACTAATTTCTTTAACAAGAAGTCTAATGCACTGTTTCTTTAACTGAAATAAGTTCAGTCCAACACTACTGTCTGGTTTTGAAATATGTTTGCTACATAATATATAAAATAAAGTCGCTCTCCGACTCTGTCGTCAGGAAAGTTTTTAACAATCTTGAAATTATTATTGTCTTACTCTTGCTCGGAATAGGGGTTTAGATAACTTTTTTAATATTTTTATTTTATAGATATACATGAAAATATAGCTAAAAAAAATATTTAATAACAATTTTCATGCGTATAATGAGTTAACATCTAAAAATACATTTTATCTTTCCCGCGAGACCTCCACTACTATCATGGCGTCGCTATGACGTCATGGCACTCTGAAACTAATGTCGTTCTATGTATGCACAAAGTTTAATTCTCTAAGTTCTGATATGAGTACGAAGGGCGTGACGTCACACGCTATTTGCGGTCACGTGACAGCGAGCATAGTTATTTGTTTTTTTTTCATAATTAGTAATATCGTAAATATAATAAAAGTATATAAGCATAAATGTGTGATAATGGGTAACAGTATATTAAACTTACCAGAAAAAAAGGTTTTATTTTCGTTTACTGTTTACACCCGTATTGTCTATAGGTAAAATAGAGATAGCTTGGGCCCGTCAAGTTGCCGAGTCGCCAGCTAACAGATATAGTTTCGTATGCTCAGCTATGTTAGCCGTTTGCAGAGAAGTGGATAATGATCGGTGAGTCTTATAATATTGTATACCGTTTTGTTCTATATCAATGTCTTGTTTTGCGTTCATCGTCATTAATTAGACACTTTAAATGACTTTTATTAAAAAATAACACCAAAGTCACCTAACCAGTTATAAGTTCAAAAAGAAATGTATTTACCACATTAAGAAATTTTCAAGTATCCATTTAATCAATCATAACATTAATGTAACCTTGTTTTAAAACAAAATAATCTGTACTAATAGTTACAGCTCGTCACAGTTATTCTATTTTATTTTCTATTTGATGAAATTACAGTATTTGTATTGGGCTGTCACGCATATAAAAGTATATGAAATGTCTGTGTCTCAAAAGAAGCCCCGTGGCATAACGCCTTTGTAATAAAATCGAAAACATTTTGATTCGAAGGACTTCGTTCGTGAGATGAAACTCTTCAAGGATTATCCAAACATACCGCCGCGCGCACAAATCAGTTGATTTTACTATATAATATGGTTGTATAGGTGTTCTATGTCGCAGTGGTTAGCGCGCTCTTTCTGCGATAAAGTCCGGTCATAGGATGGGTAACCAAACTTTATTATCTCGGGCACCTCCGTGCTTCAAAAGGCACGTGAACCCGGCTGCATCTGCACTCGTAAATACCCATCATCGGCACTGCAGGTCAATCTGCTAATGTTTACGTTATAAATAATAGCATCTCACTCTCTCTGTCTCTCAATCTCAACTACTTATTATTTATCTGTCACCGTAGACGTGTGAAGAGTACATTGCACTTTAGATGGATAGTACAATGGTAAAGTGCAAGTCGTTGATTATTCTGTACATGGAAATATTTCTGCATCTAATGGCGTTTGACGGACGCATTGTTGTCTAGCAGTTTGACACTATCTGTAACCACATTTTCTCTTATTTTTACGTACATATTTGCTTGTATTTATTTGCATATTGAGGTGTTCTTTTTCTGATAAATGTTAATTGCTTATTCTCGAATACTTGATATTTATATAAAGTTCAGTAAATAATATAGTCAGTAAACTTTTTTTATATATATATAGGTAATTACTGAAAAACTTTTTAATGATAACGTTAATATCTATGGAAACCTATTATTGGCTTAATTTAAGTTACATCTGTCTTATTATCTTAACCATGTTTTAGCTGTTGGTTTTCTTAAATAAATTAAATTAAAAAAAATACGTAAACAGTAGCAGAATTGGCCTGCTGGGCCCTCGTGATGAGTCAAGGTCCATTCTCCCCATTACATTTGATTCGATTACATGTATAGGGAAAGCCTGAGTCCCAGCAATGGGGCTAATAGGCTACTGATGATGATGTTCACCATGTATAATGCAGAGTGAACGAGTTAGGCGTACTATGCGCGGAGATGACGGCGTGGTGCAGCGGTTTAGCCGCAGAGTGGTTGGGGGCGCTAGTGGCGTTATGCGGGGCGCAGCACTACCCGCAGGCGCCCCACGCCGCGCCCCCGCCCCTCTACCCTGACTTGCTACATCACAGGGATTTACACGATGCCGCCGCACATGACGCGCTCGCTGTATTCACATGTATCCTAGTAGGTGCGTATTATTTAACTAGCTTTTCGCCAGCGATTTCGCCCGCGTGGTCAATAGAGAATTGTTTATTTGGATATCGATTCATATGACTACAATGACAAATGGAATATTAAGCAATGGTTACTATGGTTACGTTTTAATACCCTATACAAACTGCCACTCCTATTCTCATCTCTCTGTTTGCTGTTCGTCTGGATAAAATATAGCCTAATTCTACCTACACCAATAAAATCGATCCATTAGTTTTTAGCCGATTCGAACAAACAAACATTCCGTAATCGTCATCTTCCACATAGATTACATTAGGGGTCGTTCGAGTCCATATTCATGGCAGAGAGCATGCTAGCCTTAACAGCGTCATACAATTAATATCGGAATCGTTTTCTCGCAGCTCGTCATTGTTTCTCACTGGAGGACTTCGTCCGGCATGCTGCGTTACCATCGCTTGTTAAAGCGTGCGGTGGCGCTGGCGTTACTGGTAACCCAGTTAATGCGCCTTCTCCTGATACTGGTGCCAGATTAACCTGCCATCTCCTACTGAGACTCTTCAAGACTGTAGATACGCCGCAACCGGGTATGTAGTATATCGATACCCTTTGGCTAAAAGCTCGTCAGGCTCAGTTTTCAGGCGTCAAAATGTTTATTCATTAAACTTAAACTTAAAGGGTTAGCATAATAGTACAAAAAACATAAAAAATAATTATTTGATTCAGTATATTTTTTTTTTAAATTAATTTATCGCATTTTCTGATGCAGTATTGAAAAAGTGTCCTAGGGCTTCATTTTGTCTTTTTACCATTCGAATATAACCTACAAAAACAGTGCTTAGAATTTACCACAGAACATAGAGAGAGATTAGAAGTATAATGATATTAATTTAGTATGGGAACCGAGTGTCGCCTCTCCGCACACAAATGCAGATTAGATGAAATGATCATTTTGTTCACTACATGAAAAACCTCCACGCGATAGGTTCGCGATAACATAAATCAAATCCCAAAAAGATACTAAGCTAAGAAATCACACGATTAAAAACAAACTCTAATTCAACGTGATAATAAATAATTTACTTTAACATGAATGTTGAACTGTCACGTGGCTGTATATGGGGATATCAGAAGGAAAAAAATATTTTAAGATTATGCACATTTAAAAAAATTGGGGTCATCATTTTATGTGCGAACTATTAATATTAGATTTTGCTGTAACCAAGTGAATACTGAAAAATTAAGGCTTTTCCCTACATAATTTATTAAAATATCTTTTAAAAAACGCTGTACAAAAACTAAGAAAACTTAATGATACACTCTATCGTATGTCTGTGGAGTAATATAATTAAGCGAGGGAAAGTGTAAAAAAAACAAAAATTAAGAAAACAACAGAATTTTTGTATTAATTACATTAAGCCTAATTTGTATTTTTTTCTTACTGGTATCATTCCGATTGTGCATATTAGTGATGTGACATATTAGTTGATAAAATAAGAGCTTTAAATTTTGTTATGAAACAGTTCAATGTAATTCAGTTCAACAATTTTCTACAGTGGTTTGATAGTAATTATTTAAAGCTTTATTCAAATAAAACGAAATACATAAAGTTTGCATTACCTAATGTGAGGCATGTTAATATACTTATAAATGTAAATAGTGAAAAAGTTGAGATGGTAGAATCGACAAAGTTCCTTGGTATTTTGGTATATTGATAATTTGTCAAGTAGACTGAGTTCTGCAGCATTTGCTGTTAAGAAAATTAGACTCTTAACAAATGTTGAAACGGCAAGATTGGTATATTTTAGTTATTTTCATAGTGTAATGAATGACGTATAATCTATTGTTATGGCGTTCTGCGGCTAGCATTCAAGATATTTTTATTCTACAAAAGAGAGCTGTCCACGCTATATATAATTTATGGTCTAGAGAATCTCTCAGAGAAATATTTAAAGAAATAAATATTTTGACTGTTGCCTCTCAATACATCAATGAAAATATTATGTACGCAAGAAAACATTACGATTCCTTCACAAAAAAAGTAGAAATAAAAATAAACTTGCCATTCCAAGTGCTTGTAATAGCCTTCTTGAATAAAGATATTTTCATTTCATTTCATAATAACTAATATGATCATTACACTAATAAATTGATCATAGCCATGTTTGTTTTACTTTATTATTCTAAGTTTTATATCTGTAATAATAGTAGTAGCTACATTATTAATTGCAACGACTGGACAATAAGGAATCGCTGGTCAAGTATGAGTTTGAAAGCCGTGACAAAAAAAGTTTGACGATAGACACAAAAGCGATAAGTACGTACAAACGTCAATATACATATAAAGTCACATCCGTTTGAGACATGCGTCTATAAACTTATGTGCAAATATGGAGCAACAAAAAAAACTGATAAAAGCTGTTCTGTGGGCGGTTCTTTAAAGTGACTTTCTTAACTCGATTTCTATAATAATAGTTTCCGATTATGAATCAGCAGAATAAGGTAAATTAAATTGACGCCTAAAAATTAATTTTGTAAATTAAATTCACACCACCAACAATATTACGTTAGTTGAAAACATAATTTTTTGTTTGTATAGATATTATGTTGTTTTGAAATTCATTTGATAGGTTTAGGTCTAAAACAGATAGGGCAAAATTAATTATGTAAACAAGGCAATCCGTTGTAAAGTTATTAGGGAAACTGAAATATAAGTAATGCAAAATAAGTGAAATCCAGTTTCACCAGTTTCTAACAAGACCTATTAGGCCAACTCTTAGCTTTTCACGAAGTTTCGTTTAATTTATGTATTGTTCATAAAACGGTGATATACTTCGTAACTTAGATATTTATAGCACATCAGTAATTTTTAATATTTATCTGCGTGTAAATAATTAACCGAATCTTCGTATTAAAAGTGCCTGGACAGTTCATTATTTCATTTGTTCAGTATCACTTCATCTATAATTTTCCCTTGTAAACAGTATTTTTTAGTTTTATATAATTATGGCATATATTTATCGATAACGTTGTTATGAAATGATGAAAGAAAAGCTCTAAATAAATATGTTTTAGTTATCGATTACGATCCATATAATTCACAATACGATTCCGAGCAGCAGCAGCCTATCGGTACATTTCAGACAAATGGAGGCACAGCACTATTTTTTGCAAAAGTGCACAAAATGATTTACATTGCTGTTTAGTAATGGGGTCAGAAACATTGATGTTGGTTTGAGCAATCAATGTATATTTTATTTAACATTGTGTCAAATTATTACGTTTTTTATATTTTAGCACTAAAATTGTACTTACCAGTGAAAGGAAATGTTTGCATTAGTTAGATTGTATACTTTGCTTTGCTTTTTGCAAGTGATAATAGCACAAAACGGCATTTTTTATAAAAAAAATCTGTAAAATCACCACTCGACGATTGACGAACGACTGGCAAACATAAAACCGAGGAAAGGGCGTCATATGAGTAAAAGCGCATATGCCAGCGACGCGTGCCCCGCCCACTTACTACTTCTATTCTCTCTCTATGTTCTGTGGAATTTACTACATTTTCTAATGCAGCCTAGCTATAAAAAATCTACAAAATACTTTAAAAAAAATCCTCTACGACCATTAAATTGTAACAAAAAATTTGTACGTGTCTAAAATTATAAAAAAATACCCATCGGCCGTAAACTGTTCATCCTATGTTACTTACATATCCCAAACATACACAGATACTGACTAAATCCCTTCGTTACAAGTCTTACTGCGTTTCTGAATATAGATGTTATTTTAAGAAAGACGAAATAACATTACAATACATACAGTCAAGAAATACATTGTAGTTTGAAGATTTTTGTTTTTTCATTAGAAGTTCCATTAGAAACTTTCCCAACAGGTCTATACTCCGTGTCGACGTCACCTGGCCCCGGGGGCGGTGCCGCGGGCGTTCGCTTGTCTTGCGATCGTCATCTCCTCGCAGCTGCCCATAAAAACATCGGCGTTGGACCAGTACTAGCTACACTTAAAGCTATACTCAGTATGTACTCTTTAAATTTATATTTGTGCAACATAAATGTGTAATTATTATGTTATGTGTGTACCAAATTATATTTGTTTCTAAAACACAGTGTGATATTGAAGATACAGATGTAAATCTTTCCAATAAAGTAAAATTAACGAGATATCTACATTATCGTATTATCCTTACACTAAGGCTGAATGGTATAGTTTCCCTTGACTATGAAGAAATATATTACAGACAAAGTAACTGTCAAATGTTACAGCGTTTGTAAATTTTGCCAGTGAAATATATATAAAAAAAGATTACCGACAAAAAATAGAATATAATTCTCGATAAGGGTAATATGACTGGGAGTAAGCCGCGGTATAAATTAATATTTATCCATATAAAATTATACATTTAAATTACTAGCTGTAATAATAGTAATAAACATAAAAAAGGTAGTCTAAAATCTGTGTTTTAAATCTTAATTTTTCTTAATTATATGTTAATTAAGTGTTTATATTCAACGTTTACTAGTGGTTGGGGATTCTACAGCACGAGATGGCAGTAAACCCGGCGGCAAGAAGTCGTGTGAACTGTCCCATATATTAGGAACCAGCGATACAGTGCCCACGGACGCGCAACTCGATCTTATGTCGTAAGTACATTGAAAATATCAATATGAAAGACAATGAACATCATTATTTACGGACGAAGATAGACAATTGTAATATCGGGCATCAAAACTTTACTTCAGTGATGCGGTATAGTATATTAAGCTTTTTTGTGAGTTTTTTATTTTATTTTATTTTATTTGATAATTTTGTTAGATACTGCAATCATTATAAAATATTTTATGTATTAGGATGATTAATTAAAATGTTTTAAACATTAATTTTTCGTTCTTAGGATGGTAGAGTCAGAGATAAGTGGGGGCCATAGAACTCCTAGGTTTGTTTATTTTACTATTGAGTTACACGGTTGCACTCGACACCATCCTTTTGTCGCACTGGGTCAGTGGACTGAGCCATATCACCATCATAGTCACCCGCTTTGCTTCTGTTGCATTTGTGTATATTTCATTTTCGGTTCTCATATTTCATAGACAAACATCTTCTTGTGACGTCACGTGTTGACAAATAATAATCAAAAGCCATAATTGTCTGAAAATTAGACATATCAGGAAACGTTTTAATTTTTTTTTTTTTTTAAATACAATGAGTGTCATATTTATCTTGAAGAAACATAGAGCATTGTGAATTCAACATTGATTAAATATAATAAGTACTCTGGGATAATTGATATGGAAGTTGTAAAATATATACTAATACATTTTACAACTTCCACATCAATTATGTCCAAGTAAAGTAAGTTTCAGAGCAGGTTTACTAATTCTGACGATGGCCAATCGTACGATTAAAACGTATAAGACTCTTGTATCAATAATCGTAAGGTGTAAAATACAACGCATTGAGTATCCGATTCACTCATACTCGGCGGAAAAGTGACGCGCGGGCCGCATGATGACGCGTTACTTGGATACCATACTTCGAGCGTCACCTCAGCGACTCAAGTTTCTTGACATTTTTATTATCCATAATATAAGAAATATATTAATATTTAAATATTTTCATTATGGTTCCATGGTAACCGCGTTAAGATTGTAGTATAAACAGCAGCCGTACAGCGGCCCTAGCGATAACTGTCGAGAATTACAAATCTCCAGACAAATTTCTAACGCGCTCACTAATAAACGTGAAACTCATATTCACCACCCGGTTATATCTTACTGTGCAGGAATATACTATTTATTTACTACTTTCCAAAATAACTGTAAATAATTGTTACCCTAAATTATGCCGTTTCGCTACACTAATACCATTTGAAGTTTTTAGGAAATTTTTGTAGCGGTTGTTCATAGATGGATCTTATTCTATTTACTGATTGTAACTAATTTTCCCGTTTTTAAAATAAGAAATGGACACCTATGTGAAAAAATCTTTACCACCATCAAAAATCTTTAGTCGCTTATTCTCTACTTATATACCTAGCTTGATATTTAAGTAAATACTTTGAATTCTTACCTATTTTTTTCTTCAATTTAATACTCTATTCCAATGTTATGTTGTAGTTTGATTACCCTTAATTGATAGAAGCGTATCTTAAGCCTTTAATTTTTATAAATTAATCCTGCTAATATGATAATGACAAAGAAAAGAAATTTATCCCTTATTCAAACGTGTTAAAGAGTAGTTTAACATATCATACTTTCTTAATTCATAAATAAATTTTAAGGGGTTGTTATGTAACTGTCACAAAAAAAAGTCTAGTTATTTCTATATCTGAGTGATCATCGCAAATAATCCCTAAAAAATATGTTTGAACACTAAAATATAATTATTCTTCGTAGTTTTGTGATTCTTACCAAGTATTTAACTGTCTTTTCATAGATTCTATTGCAAGATATCACTATATCATCTATGTGTTAACAAAAATATTTGGCATTTCCATCACCATAATCACAATGAGCACTAACTGTTATCGTCTTTTTTAATGTGTAGCATAACCTCAGGGGTCAGTTTTGTAAAAAACTTTAATTATATATCAATAGAACTTCATTATACAGTTGACAAAGTACTGCAAGTAAAGCGTTTTCTTATTTACAGTTGTAATTTTATTTATTCTTTTAACTAGCTTTCGCCAGCGGCTTCGCCCGCGTGGACCCTAGGGAAATGTCAAGTGGGATAAAAAGTATCCTATTATCTAAGTCAGCTAATACCCTATATGTATACCAAAGTTCATCAAAATCCGTTCAGTAGTTTCGGCGTGATTGGCGGACAAACATCCAAACAAAGAAACTTTCACATTTATAATATTAATAGGATAGGATTTTTAAGCTACATCACAGTCCGTGTATTGTTAAATCTTACGATCATTTGCCCTCGATCGAAAAAAAATAATGAAAGAATTTTAGATAAGAGTCGATTTTTCATGCACCAATAGAAGGAGACAAATATTAACCTTTCTTTTTTACCGTTTACATTTCCAATTACAGGGAGTCACATGTCTTCCATACTCCATTATAGTAAACTATGTCCTTTACACACGTGTAGCGCCTATCCTATAAAATGCTCTACTTGCTGTCGACTGTATATTTTACATATTATACACAGCAGCACATTAGGATACCACAGTCAATTGTTTCCAATCAAGTTCGAACTCTGTTAATGAGAAATCAAGGTTTTAAATCAAATGTAAAGATTTTTGAATAACCTAATGTGCTGTTGACGATACGTATATATTATAATACATATTGTACAATTAGCTATTGTAATACGCAATGACAGAGGATGCGGTGGAGTGGGATCGACACTGCTAGACTCATCACAGTCGCTATCGTCGCTCGCCCGACGCGTCTTAGCAGAGATCTGCTCAGAGGAGTGGGTGCTTCAAAAGTGCCTACAAAATCCTGATGAATTGTACCAACCTGATATGCTATTAGATTCTATGCTGACGCCGCGTCAGGCACAGAGGTTTGTAAACTCTAGTGTTTTTCTTTTTATTAAAAAGTATGTAGTTTCATTGATATTTGTTTTCAAAATTATGTAATGAGGTTACACAGGGAACTTATTACAGTATATTTCTATCCTTTTCTAATCGATTCTTTATGTTCTTTCCAATTAGATTAATTGAATGATTATTAATTGAGTGAATTAATCGGTAAATTACATATGTTGCAAATCGTGTTTTTCTTAGATTGCTACATATGATATGCTATCCTGATTCTGCGAGTCACACTCATCCCGATCTCGACCAAAAGACAATGATCACACGTCTATTAGAGGTAAGCACTTTAGCACTATCAATAAAATAGCAAAAAGACACCTTTGCAGTAATAAGGTTTGTTTTCAAATAATTGTTAACAAACAAGGAAATCGAAGCTTAAAATAAAGATCATGCTTTGCGCTCGGTTCTCTTCTTTACCGTGAAGATATAAATTGATATGAATCAGTTATTAAAACTCAAATTAACCTAAAAATTGGGACGACGAGTAATTTTTGTTTGTTCGTAGATTATTGAAGATAAAATTAAAAACGTATTCTTTTATTTTTTTCGTAATCATTAAATTACGGCGATACATTGAGTTAAAATGTCACATGACGTCACGCTTTTATAAATTTTCTACAAAACTGTGACGTAGCGAGCCCCCACTCCTCAACTTTAATGCCTGTTAGGTAATATTTTCTATTATCTGACTGACGGACTAAATAGAATTTCTTTTTTTTAGCAGTCTTTCCTATTATCATAACCCTTACATTGATAGTCTTTCTATTTAATTAACAGAACCTAGAACAATGGTCGTTGCGGATGTCATGGTTGGACCTTCAGTTGATGTTCAAGCAGTTTCCTAGTGGTTCATCGGAGTTGAGCGCGTGGCTCGATACCGTATCGCGTGCCGTCATAAACGTATTCCAACAGCCCGCGCCTCCGCCGCCTGACAAGGACAGGTATATAGGTACCAGATGATGAGTGAAAGAGACGAATGATGGGAACTAAGCCAGAGTTAAAGTAACAATACTAGTCCTGATACACGAATTTACACAAGTAATGTTAACTTGTTAATTTCAAAAATTTTACTAACAATATTTGTTACGCTGTTTTAAACTTTCATAGCCATTAACGTTGGAATTATTGTGACATTCGGGATTGCGAGTATCGAATGTAAAAGGACTCGATATATCTCTCAAAAACTTCGGTCACTTCGTTATAAGGTACAAGCATTTTCACACGACTTCGCACACATGAATTATAGTTTATACCAACCCCGTATAATGTAGCTACCCATAGGTTAAAGAATTTTTAAAATCGGCCCAGCATTTTCGGAACCTATTCAATTCAAACAAACAATCAAATTATTCCTCTTTATAATAATAATATAGACTTGTTAACAAACCTTTATTTCACCATGCTTCTAATATTTGTTATATTGCATATACACTAGATTTCTAAAAATATGTAGGAAGAAAAAAAAATATGTAGACGCTATTACAGAGTGTTTGTCTTTTTTAGGACTGGCACAGATCGCGGCGTTGTAAGCACAAGCAAATGGTCGGAATCGGTATGGCTCGTCGCTCCTCTAGTCGCTAAGCTACCACCTGCAGTTCAAGGTCGAGTGCTCAAACAAGCTGGACAGGTAACTTAATTATCGGTTGTTTATATTCTGTCTTTTGGAAACCGTTTCGTGCGATAAAAAGTAGCCTAAGACTTAGAATATTAAAAAAAACCCCAATGCGAAATTTTTAGACTCTTAGCGCTTGTAGTAACACAGTTTCATACAAACGTCAACCCTAAAAACAACCCTTTAGGGGTTGAATTTCGCAAAATTCTGTCTTAGTGAGCTCATGTAAAATTTGAAACTTCTAGCGCTGGTTCTAACGAAGTTTCATACAAACTTCAACCCCAAAAAGAACCCCGCAGGGGTTGAATTCTGGAAAAATCCCGAAATTTCAGGCGAAGATAAACTTAACTAAAGGTACATAAATATAAGACTATCCCAATACCAATGTTGATTGCATATTTGAACATTCCTATGTAGATCTTAGAAAGCGGTTGGGGCGCTGGGTGCAGTGGCAACTGTTCAAGTGGCAGTGGAAACAGCGGCGGCTCTCATCGCGACTGCAAGAGTCACCAGAGTCCAAGTTATAAAGGGTGCGTGGATATAATGTTCCACTTTTTCATGTTGATATCTGTAACTTTACCAACATTCTGTTCTATCTTTACTCCGCGAAGGATGTAGCACGAAAATAGATACATAAAAACTTCACCTTTTTCACGTGTTGTAATTTATTGCTAAATGTATTAAAATTAGTCAAAAAAGTTCCGTAAACTTTTTGGTTTTTGTAACTGAATTTATTTGACTGTATAAAGATTGCTTGTGCACAGATTAATATGCTTACAATGACCGTTTTGTCATCTATGAACCGTTTGTAACTATTACTAAAAATGACAAATCTGTATCGATAAGTCAATCATATGTTGAACTTATTATTGTACTATGTTATTATATTCCACAAACATCCACTAATGTTTAATGCCGACTTTAAGCCTTAATTAATGTCCTAAATTTAAAAATTTGTATCGGTAATGTCGCTTTGAACTAATGACTTTGATATATTTCATGTATATCTATAGAATAAACATATTTAAAAAGTTGTCTATACCCCTTTACAATTTACTGCTCGAATGTTAATATTGCGCGCAACACCAATAAATGAGTGTTTCATAAAGCAGGTAAGCTAGGCGTTGTGTTTTCTTTTATGAATAAAATATAGACGTATAAATATCAAGACAGTATATCAAAAATTTTAAACAAATCTAGTTTTATTAAAACTTATAGATCTTTGGTTTGCACAAATAGCCCTGTATATATTAACTGTATCAGGTCGTCGAGCGGTGGCGGCGGCGGCAAGCGTGGCGTCGGCTCCAGCGGTTGCGCGACCGCTTGCAACTGCGGCGGCGGCGGCAACGTCCGTCTCGCTAACGAACCGCTTCTATCGCTAGTACTTACATGTTTGAGGCATCAAGACGACCAAAAGGTGAGGATCAATCATCACCACTGCCTATTTATTTATCGACACTTCTTGCACAAATGCATAATGGCAAACTTAATGCCGTAGGCATTTTCTACCAGTCAACTTTAGGGTGATGTTAAGACAAATAGACGGTGGGGTGCACAATAGACTTGGAAATGTTATACAAGAGAATATACAAGAGAATATACTATAATATACATAAAAGTATACCTACATATACGTCAAACATAAATTAATAGTACCTATAAATTTTACATATGCATACAAAACAATATCTTTATATACTTACATATATAAGGTGTAATGTTATTGTATGCCAGGACTTCATAGGGAGGATTAATTAAGTATACTGAACAACTTTTACTATGGGAGCATCACTAAATTCACGAAAAAATTATTAGCTGTTTCATATTGTCAACAATTGTAGGTACTACAATTTTGTATGACGTAGCTACCCGTAGGTGATATAATTTTTAAAATTGGTCCTGTAATTTTGGAGCCTGTTCGATGCAAACAAACAAACATACTAACAAATAAAACAATCAAATCTTTCCTCTTTATAATATTAGCATAGATTAATCAAAATTAAAAAAATAAGAAAGTTTAATTCAGAATATCTGTTTTATAAAATGAAAAATCTTAATGAAAACGCGAGTCTCTCAGTCAGTTGCACAAACATCCATTAAAATTGTCATTAGTTTAAAGCGACGTTACCGATACAAAATTGACATTCATTAAAACTTAAAGGCGTCATTAAACCATAATGAACGTTTATGCAACTGACTGTCTGTTCCCTCGATTAAATCCTTGCGTTATACATTGTTTCACAGCAAGAGAGCCTTCTCAGTTCAATTCACGCTCAGCTCCAGCACTACTTGACTCACGCACGTGACCACGAGCGGACCGCGTGTAGCGACACGTGGCAAGACGATGCAGCGCCTGAAGCGCTACAACTACGCTTCTCGTTAGCGGGCGGAATGTTCGATACAATACGACGCTCCTACCAGCTGATATCAGACTGGGCTGTGTTGTTAACCCAACTGGTCGCCCACCAAGTGATCGACGCGTACAACAATAGGTAACTCTTTATAGATGCCGCATACGTGTGCCGAGCGCTGCTCTCTACGTTGGTGATGGAATATCGGCATGGTGTGAAAATGAGCGATATGGTGGTAATTGCTTGATGGAACACTACTATCTATCGTTTTACAAGTGGTTTTAATGTTGGATATCTTTGTGGATATATTCACCTTTCATCATTTGTGTATGCACTCGAATTGATACGGGGAATTGATATTTTACACAATATATCACTAGTGGGCCTAGAGGGCCCGGCAAACTTTATTTCCATTTGAATGTAAAAATATATAAAAATTCTTGGTTCCTCCTAATTAATAAATGAGCAAATTTATAATTTAGTGATAATTTAAAATAAACCATAGACATAGACATCATAACATGAACTGTCAGATGCATTTTATTATGACAAATCATGGTTATCACTATTATGAGGCTATTATAATAATAATTATTGTTAATAAAATATAATTATTTAATACATATTGTCCTATTCCCGATGAAGACAAATCCAAAAACACATATATAAAAAACGGTCCTGGCGTTGTCGAATCATAAATGGTGTAACTAACACGACTGTCTTGTATATGTATATGCGACAGTTTTGTATAGGTTTTTAACAACAAAGTTTTATGTAAGTTTTTAATAATAACTGCCTGACTTTAATATAGGTTTATTGAAAAACTTTCACTTTTTTTTAATCAGTTTTTAAAAGGTTCAATGTCGTACTGGATATTATGCATAGTATACGGTCTCTCTCCGTCTCTGTTATTCCCTGTATGGTTAAGGCATTTAATTATGCCTAAATTAAAAAAAAATGAATCATTATAGAATAAACTCTGTAAATAAAATCTTACGGCATTATTCGAAACTATAACCGCTTATTTAGCACAGTAAAATATTGCACTTTTCTTTCTTTATATAGCACTTGCTATAAAAAAAAAATTAAGACCTTGGTTAAAACTTGATTTAATTAAAAATTAATAGCACATAAAGTACTTTACGTATTATAAATTAATACTGATATTTCTACTGGGTTCTGCTGACCTATAGTTTTAAATGAATATGATTGATATTTAAAAAGCTGATTGAAATCTTAAATAGAATAAAATCTGTTTTTGAAAATTATGAAATAATGTTTCATCTTTTTATGTAATTCGTGATCGAGTGGCTAGCACTCGTAGTTTCTATAGTGTTACATACGATTTTCTGGTTCGTGTAATTTAGAACTGTTCTATGTTGTTTCAAATCATAGAATACCTTCGTTATTTATGGTTTTCACAACATAATCGCTTTGGCTACTTAACTTGGGATTTAAACAGTTGTTACGTGTTTTCTAATATTCATAAAAAATAACGATCACATGTTTATTGCCACTGTTTTTAAATTTATATGCCTTTCACATTAAGGTGCATTATCGCATGTTACACATAATACATCGCAAACCTACGCACCAAGTCGTTGCAGTGGCGGTGGTGGATAGTACTGCATTTAAAAAAAAGAATCTGATAATCATTTTTGTGCAGTTCTTTATAATAAATTCAGATTCAGACGTATTTTTACATCTATTACTTTGTGCGTTTTATTCTTTAATGTATGATAATTTTTTTGTGTGGCAATATATTTTCTTCCCTTTCGATGACTTTCGGTCATAATAGCTTATGTTTCAATTTTTGAGAAGTCATATGTATTTAGTAAGACAAACTCAATGTTTTTTATTCAGTTTAATCTTACCATCCTACATTAAGCCTTTTTCCTCTACCTCATTTTTCTTAGTATAAATATGTTGCATCGCATGTTCTGGTTTTGGTTTTGGAGCTTTCTTGCTATTATTATAATTTTAAACCGAATCCTAAATTTAGAAATAATTATTAATGCTGAAGAAATATAAAACGGAAACTCGCCATTATTTACTCGAATGCTTACGCCTTATTATTGTGACTACATAATTTATTTATGTATAAGCAATCTGTTTAAATATTTTCTCGCTTCTTTTTCGTTATATAAATAAAAGACAATTTATTAAAACCTTTATAAATTCATATCACGGCAGCCTAAACAATGTCGATAGTTGTTGGTGTCGCAACGCAGTACACGTTTTTTCTTCTTCATCCACTTTTTTTATTACTCGAGGGAAATGCACCTTGAGCCTTAAAGCAAGGCTCCCCGAGCCCGCACCCGTGATGAAAAGGAGGCTTAAGTGAGGCCGGCCTACCTGGTAAAACCCGCTGCGGATCCTTCAAAGAGGGTACCTCTTGGCGGGGCGAGGGGGGAAGGACCCGGGATCCAGCAAGGAGCCCACCGGCTCCAACTCCAATAACGCATACTATCCACCTAGCCGTTGCGTACAGTTCTCATACGCTTGTGTCTCTAACGACTTGCTGTGTAGTCTGGCTGTCGGGGCGGTGTATCTACAATACGTTAATATAGTCTGTGTCGCAGCAACCTGTTCACGACATTGATCGACATGCTCGCGACACTGATACACTCGACGCTTGCTGACGGCGGCGACGATAACAACAGGAAACATTACCAGAATCTCATGAAGAAACTGAAGAAGGAGCTCGGGGATAGACATGGTCCCTCCGTGCAGGCGGTTCGACAGTTGTTACCGTTGTCCAAGAACACTATTATAGAGGTTAGTCAAGATAAAAGAAATACGAGTTTTATTTCTTCTGACAAACTCTGATTACCGAACGAATCAATGTTTAAAAATGAACTTTTCTATACGGTCTCCGGGTGTTGTGGTACCTACGTTGTCTCAGATACATAGATACAGGGGTTTTAGTTACTCATCTTGGAATTTGATTAATGTATGTGATGTTGTCTTATATTTATCTATACTATTAAAATATAAAAGTTTGGTAATTTAATTTGAACTTTATAATCATTAGTTGAAGATTCAAAGTTAATTTAAATGTTGTTGACTAAACTTTATTTGGCACTAAAAGAAAATATCGGTTATTGAATTAGTTTACAACAAATTTTTACATCTGTAAATATAATTTAGTAACTTTATAACACAAGTAATTTCATGATGAAATTGGTCAACGATATAGATAAATAAACAACTATTTCTATCAGGTTATCGCTTGCGAGCCGCTTGGATGCTTAGTGGATCAAAAAGGAAATAAAATCACCGGGTTCGACAGTGATAAGAAACAGGTAAGCCAATTATTCATCGTTCATTACAGAAAAAATTCTAACTTAATTTAAAAAATCATGATAATAATTGTCTTACTCATATTCCAACTTTTAATCGTACGGTTTAAACTTATTATGAACAACTTATTGTAAGCGTTACTTCATAATAGTGCGTTTTGATTAAATCCGATGCCAACCAAATGAAAATCAATCTAGTTACGCGGTAGGCCTGCAAATTATAATATACTTTGCCTACATGAATGGCGATTTTTTTATCTAATACTTATCCAAGCAAATTTACAATATAATTAGGGAACCATTTCTAAGATATTTAAAAGTATATCGCCTAAAATGTGTATAATTATATGGATATGACTCTAGAAGCCGGAGTTTTGAATACAAACCCTATGCTCAAATTAACAAAATAAGGCACAGTGGTTACCGTGGAACTTCGGTAAGCACTGTCCTTTATTACCAATTACAGAGGCTAAGCATCTATCCACATTAAAAATATCAAAGTATTATTAGCAACTGCAGAGCGATTCCGTAAAAATCCGACCCAAATTCTAATTCACTCATGTGACTGAATTTACAAAAAAAAAATCTAGTGTTTATACGTGTCGCAGATATTTTATCCCTATGTCATTCCGAATCTCACTTAAGCCACTGAACGTTAATACCAAATCAAGGTTAAGTGAATGACGCTTTCGAAGTGAATTTGGACACCTGATTGAATTTGTGGCGAGCTACCCGCTCCAATTTTATACTTGGGCAACCGCCCTACATTTCGACGAAGAAACGCTCCGCTTATGCGCTTTGGGCCAGCGGCGATGACTGACGTCACGCATTACGTAGCTCGCCGGGCGTATGCGCATCCTTGTCGCACGCGCTCGCTTCGTGATGATGCGTGCCTGCTCGCGTCGTCGCGCCGTCGGCCGAACAAGAATGACTCTGCATATAGCTTTGCTTGCGTACGACCGTCACATTTCTATTAATTTATAATCTGCTTACTTTTGCTATTTTATACAATTCTTTTCTTGTAATATAATTCTAATCTGTGTGTAAATAATATATCCTTCATTCTTAGTGCTTGTGCTTCTTTTCCTTCTCGTGAACTGTGTTGTTTTGTGCTGTTAAATTGAACATTCTTATCGGGTTCGACTCCCGAAATTTATGTGGGATTACTTCATATAATATCCTACATCTGGTGACCCCGACGTGATCTGAACACGCAACCCTTGCAGAACACGGAGGAAAAACCTATTTTGAGAAGGAGGATTGTTCCACGGAAGATATTGGATAAAACGGTCGGTGGTTTAAAAAAAAACGGTGAGCGATTTTAAATTTTTTTTCAACGATGAGTCACGGTGAAGATTTTTTCGAGTGCAAAGAGGAAGTTTTACGGGTAGGTGTTAGAGTACCACCTTTTTGGCCAGAAGAGCCTGCTTTATGGTTCGCACAGGTTGAATCACAATTTGCCTTGTCAAAGATAACCAGCGATGAAACTAAATTTTTTTACCTCGTTGCACAATTGGACCATCGGTATGCGGTCGAGGTAAAAGACGTAATTACCAACCCTCCCGCCACAAACAAATACGACAAGCTTAAACAGGAGCTAATTAAACGCCTCTCAGCTTCGCAGGAAAAGCGTGTTAAGCAGCTTCTTATGCACGAAGAGCTCGGTGATCGGAAGCCCTCACAGTTCCTGCGCCATCTATCCGGTCTGGCAGGTCCATCAGTGCCGTCTGACTTCATCGTCACGCTGTGGTCTAGCAGGTTGCCACAGAATATTCAAACTGTGATCGCATCTCAAATGGACTTGCACATCGATAAACTAGGTGAGCTAGCCGACAAGATCCATGAGATAGCACCATCGACACCTCAGGTGGCCAGTACTTCTGCGGTTTTACCTACAACTCCTCTAAACGAGATGGCACTCCAAATATCTCAGCTGACGAAGCAGGTAGCTATGCTAACCACTCGATTGGAGAAGGCAGAACGATCACGCTCCAGGTCTCGTCAGCACTCCAGGAGTTACAATCGCTCTCGCAGCCGTTCCCGACCACCACAGCCACCACCTGACCACCCACACTGCTTTTACCATTATACTTATGGGGCAAAGGCAAATAAGTGTAAGAAGCCATGCAGTTTCCACTCGGAAAACTCTCAGGGCGGTCGGAAGTAGCGGCCCATGACTGCCCTTCATCAACAGGCCGTCTTTTCGTCACCGATCGCGCAACAAAAATGCAGTTCCTAGTGGATACTGGCTCAGACCTGTGTGTTTTTCCGCGATCTGCTATCAAGACGCCCTGCATCAAGTCCAAGTATGATCTCGTCGCAGCGAACAACTCCATCATACATACTTATGGACCTGTGCTTTTACACTTAAATTTGGGACTCAGGCGAGATTTTACTTGGAACTTCACAATAGCAGACGTGTCTAAACCTATAATTGGGGTTGATTTTTTGAGCCACTTTAATTTGCTTGTGGATTGCAGGAACCAGCGCTTAGTGGATGGTGTCACGACCCTCTCAGTAGCAGCGACCACTATCCATTGCCCTGACGACATCGCTTCTGTCAAGGTCGTTTCTGGCAAGTCTGAGTTCTACGACATATTGCGTGAGTACCCTGAAATCACGAGACCCGCAGGTGTTCATTGTCCACCTAGGCACAATACGCTGCATTTCATTAGAACGACGCCAGGTCCACCCGTTTCCTGCAAGCCTCGACGACTTGATCCAGTTCGCACTTTGGCCGCGAAGAAGGAATTCGAGGACATGCTAGCTTGTGGTACAGCGAGACGCTCAGAGAGTCCTTGGTCTTCTGCTCTGCATCTGGTGAAGAAGAAGGACGACGGATGGCGACCGTGCGGTGACTACCGTGCACTCAACGCCAGGACGATTCCAGATCGGTATCCCATCCGTCATATTCACGATTTCTCTTACCAGCTCTCTGGGTGTTCTATCTTCTCCACCATCGATCTCGTGAAGGCGTATAACCAAATCGCCGTAAATCCTGCGGATATACCCAAGACGGCCATCACTACACCTTTCGGTATGTACGAATTTCCGTACATGACTTTTGGTCTGAGGAATGCTGCACAGACCTTCCAGCGATTCGTCGACGAAGTCCTTCTGGGGCTTGATTTCTGCTATGGGTATTTGGACGACATTTTGGTATTTTCCCCCACTCCAGCCCAACATAAGGTTCACCTACGGCAGCTCTTTGATCGTCTGAAGCAGTATGGCATCTTGGTCAACACTTCAAAATGCAAACTGGGACAGCACGAGGTTACGTTTCTTGGCTATCAAGTTTCGGCAGCTGGTACGAAACCTTTGGAGACAAAGGTTGAGGCTATCCAGAGCTTTTCACCGCCACGAACAGTCAAGGAACTTCAACGATTCCTAGGTATGTTGAATTTTTACCGTCGCTTCATACCTAACGCCGCTCAGATTCAGGCGCCGCTAACGGACATTCTTGCCGGCCCTCGCATCAAAGGTTCGCATCCGGTTGAGATGACATCGGATAGGCTGAAATCCTTCAACGAGTGTAAGGAATCCCTCTCTCAAGCTACTCTGCTGTCACATCCAGACCCATCTGCCAAACTTGCCATAGTCACGGATGCCTCGGATATGGCTATAGGAGCCGTGCTACAGCAACGTATTGACAAGGACTGGCAACCATTGGCTTTCTTCTCTCGGAAACTGAGTGCTTCACAAAAGAAGTATAGCCCATACGACAGAGAGTTACTAGCGGTATACGAAGCCATCAAATACTTTCGCCATATGGTTGAAGCGAGAACTTTCGTGGTGTTTACGGACCACAAACCCCTTACTTTTGCCTTCTCACTCAACAGAGATAAATGTTCGCCTAGACAGTTTCGGTACCTCGACTTCATTTCTCAGTTCACCACAGACGTACGGTACCTACCTGGGCGAGAAAATGTCGTCGCTGATGCTTTGTCGCGAGTGGAGGAGGTGACTACATTAGGTACGACCATCGACTACCAGTCTCTTGCACGGACTCAGGAGGAGGACCCGGAGCTGCAGGAGCTGATCGAACGTGGTTCATCATTAAAGCTGTCAAAAGTGCCCACTGTATCCAGCGTAATACCAGTATATTGCGACATTTCCGGTCCTACGCCACGTCCGTACATCACACCCGAGTTCCGCAAACAAGTCTTTGATATGCTGCACAACTTACATCACCCAGGAAGTTCAGCTACTGTACGACTGGTAACACAAAGATTTGTTTGGCCAGGGATTCGTAAAGATTGTAGAGAGTGGGCTAGGCAATGCTTGCAGTGCCAGAAATGCAAGGTTTCCCGCCATACATTCTCTCCCCTTTCCCCTTTCCTTCCACCTTCCTCGAGGTTCTCCCATATACACCTCGACATCATAGGGCCTTTACCTCTGTCTTATGATTACAGGTACTGTCTCACAGTCATCGACAGGTTCACGCGATGGCCTGAGGCATATCCACTTAAGGACATCACTGCGGAGACCTGTGCTGCTGCCCTCGTGTCTGGCTGGATCGCCAGATTCGGCTGTCCTGAGCGGGTGACTACAGACCGTGGTCGTCAGTTCGAATGCCACCTCTTCGAAGCCCTCACCGCACTGGTTGGTGCGCGCCACCTGCGCACGACTGCCTATCACCCAGCAGCCAATGGCATCGTCGAGCGACTACACCGCCAACTCAAGGCGGCTATAATGTGCCATGCTTCTTCTTCTCAGTGGACTGAAGCTCTTCCACTGGTGCTTTTGGGCATGCGCGGCGCTTGGAAAGATGACCTCCAATCATCCCCTGCTGAGTTGGTCTACGGCGAGCCACTTCGCTTGCCTGGCCAATTCCTGTCTCCGAAGGACGACTACCTGACTGCTGATGTCACCCAGTACGCGACACGACTTCGCGCGTACATGGCGAAGCTCTCACCACGTCCAACTTCTTGGCATTCCACGGCTTCATTCTACGTGCCACGCGATCTTCACACTGCCACCCATGTCTTTCTCCGCCAAGATCGTGTTAGAGGAGCACTGGAGCCACCTTACACTGGACCATTCAAGGTCGTGAGCAGGCAGCCTAAATATTTCTCCATCGAATACAAAGGGAAGAACGTC